CACTCTGATGGAAAGCAACAACGGGAGAAATCAGCTGTATCTGATGGTTGTTGCTTCTACTGTGGAAAGAAGGGGCACATCAAGAAAAAGTGCAGAAAAAGGCTGAAGAGTGAGGCTCAAAGGCAAACTGAACAACAGCAACAACAGGTCTCAACAAACGAGGAAAGGCTACCTCAGGGAGGCGTGCATGGTGCGGCCAATGCAGCAAGATCTGACAGCCCCTCAATAACAAATACCACAGAACCAATAGGCAACTCTAAGCACAATAGCGAGATGCACAAAGGAACATTAAAGGGCATGTATATACCAGTTATCATCGCCGGGCAACAGTTACATTTTCTTGTAGACACTGGGGCTACCGATACATACATCTCCAAAGCAGGATATGTGAAACTGATAGAGCAGCCTTCTATTGAACCTACTACAGAGAGAATAATGCTTGCAAACGGCTCAAATATGAAGGTGGACGGCAAGATCCACACTGAAGTGACAATAGGCCAGGGAAAGGCAAGGGTCACTTTGATTATCGCTGATGTATGCGGCGATGGAGTCTTGGGCATGGATAATCTTCTGTTGTTAGGAGCGAAGCTTGACTTGGAGACGGCTACTCTAGAGACCAAATGGGGATCAGTTCAGTGTCGCCATGAAGGCAAGACCACAACCTGCTTCCGCATTGTAACTACGGAGATGCAGACTGTACCTGCAGGACGAGAGAGCCTTATTACAGGAAAGACGTCGCCACTGAGACGGAGGAAGAAACAGATGGTGATCAACTGTTCCGAGCCGCTAGACGCCTGCGTCAAGCTGGAGGCGGATGTAAGGTGACGCAGAAAACAGAACATTTCCACCAGGGATGAAGATCACCTACCGATACGAGTCACTGTACCTGCCAGATGGAACAGTATCCACTCGTATTACCAGAGAAGAGAGGAGAAAGAACAATGAGCCAAGGGATGCCTAGAAGGACAGGAAACGAACTAACTGTAAAAACAAAGATGAACTGTTAATAAGACAACAGCTTTCAGGAGGAAACAAAAGGCATCCTCATTGTTTATATCCATACGCGTATCTATTTTTTATCATTTTTATGTCGTAGTGTAAGCTATTCATTTCTTTGTAAAACGCCACACCATTATCTTCTTGGGATAATTCAAGGATGTGTCATAATGCACAAAAATTCATGGAAATAATTGGCATAGGAAGCACTCGCTGTAATGGTTATATTCAGAGTTAATGTCCATAGAATGAACATGTTTTTATATGAGAACTTCATAGAAAGAGATTATGAAAGATATAGAGGGCATTCATTGTTATATGCATGTCAGTAGTCTTAAAGAGTAGAGGACCTAACTCTCAGTATGGTTAATACAGCGATGCTTAATTCAATATGTTTTAGTGATTATAGATATTTTTTTGAAACCCCTCGTATTAATGTGAGGGTGACAATGTGAGGACACATTCCTTGAAGAGGGGTGCTGTGTAACGGACCAGCCCGTTACAGGTAGTTATCTTGCAGAAAACGTAGAGGGCAGTAAGCTTTTGGGGCGTAAGGGCTCAGAGCGCGATTACGGACGCACCATGCGTAAAGCAGCTCTCAGAGGGTCTCAGATGCTATAAATTGCGGTATCGAGCACAGGTTTCGTCACTTCGACGCTGGCTCTCGTCTTAGTCAGATAGCGAACTCTCCGCTTTGCTCCAGCTGAGCTAAAGTAAGGAAAAGGATTGGAAGCGAGAAATAGAGTTCCTACAAAAGGCAATCCCTGCCTTTACTACTTGTTGAGATTAATACAGATAATTGGTGTCGGTGTTAACTATGATAACGTGTTGGAGAAGTTGACTTATGTTTGTATTAATAAAGTATACAGTTAAACAATCCATCGTTTCATAACGTGTAATTAGTTGAGTCTCCATAGACTGATGTAATATAATCCTCTCATAGAGAATACACGTCCAGCTATCCAAAACACCTCTCATCTCCACACTCATATATTTTGGGAAAACGGAGCCACGTCAGGGCCTCTAAACTACAAGCCAAATAGAAACCGCTCGCATTATTCAGGATGGCAAATTCTTCGTCAGATGACGGTAATAGAGGCAAGGGACAGGCCAGTCCTCCAGCATCCAGGACCCGTTCTAGGATGGAGGGCCGTAACAGTACTATTAGTACGAGATGTTGGCAAAACAGTCTTCAAAACCTTCCAGACCTCAGTAGATCTCCCCATAGCAGAGGACAGTTTATTAACATAATATTGTCTTTTAGTTTTTCTTATTTCAAAAGTTACTTTATTTCTTAACTTACGATAACAATTCATAGCATCGTTATTTTTGCTTTTTCGTACTTTTCTTTTGGCTTTATCACGTTCCTTTATCAAATTCATGATTTCAGAAGTCATCCATGGAGAAATTTTATTTTTGATTCTTCTGGATTTAGAGGGCATAATAGTATTGACAACTTCCATCAAGTAATTCTCCCACAACTGAACTGCTTCATCAATATCTTGAGCTAAGTAAACATTCTCCCAGGGTTGATTATCAAGCTGCTCACAAAAATTTACAATATCAATACCTTTCATTTTTCTATACGTTATAGTACGAGGAACATGGTGAGTACAAGGTAGTCCCCAAACAACATAATTCAGTGAATGGTCACTTAATCCAATATTGATGACACCAGATAACTTAATTTGATCAATCCTGTTAGTAACCATCAGATCTATTAGGCTAGATGACGTATCAGTAACACGGGTGCTAGTTGTGACATTTATGTTCTCAAGAGAATAAATTTCATGTATTTGGATCAATCTCTTAGTTTCACTATGTAAAGGGGTCTTTAGAATATCACAATTAAAATCGCCCATAATGACCGTACTATGATTAAAACTGTCAATAAAAGACAACAACGATTCATAATGACAAAAAAGCTCAGAGTAACTATTGGGAGGACGATACCAAGTAATAAAGACATAGGGGTGAGAAAATTTATTTCGAACGAGGATTGCTATAGCTTCCAAATTATGTAAAGATTCATGATTTAAAACTTCAAAATCAATGCTATCGTGTATATAAACAGCGACACCCCCACCGTGCCGATTTCTGTCTTTACGAACGATTTTGTAATTATCAATATCTATTTCACTGTTCATAATGGAATCGTCCAGCCAAGTTTCATTGAAAGCTGCAATATCAATTGGATATTTGTTGAATAAGATTCTTAATTCATCAACATTTCGCAATAAACTTCTAACATTTAATTGTACCATTTTCGTACCCTTTGTAAATAACTCTTTGAGCTTAGCTGGAACTAGATTATCATGATTATTATGAAGGCAATCACTAACTACTGGGTTTGACTGAACATCAGACAATACGGAATGAATATTACTATCTTTTTCTCCACAGCTATCTTGAGATAGAAAATTAAAAGGCAATTCAGAAAAAATACACTTACTACAAATCCAGTCTTGACTAGAATTGAAAAAATCCAGACCTAAACAAGAACATGATAGATTAATCCAACTATTACAAACTACACATTTAACAGCATTCTGATTATTTCTGACTGTTTTTGCACAAGAAAGACAAGGATATCTTAAAGGCATAAAAAATCAGTTTCATTGAGTTTTCAAACCAACGAAATAAGCTTACAGTTTGGAGTCAATATCAGCGAGGCTTGTGATGGAGATTTTCTTGCCGTTCGCATTGACAGCCGTGATCCTGCCGTCAAGCGTCCAGACTTTCTTGACATTCTCATGGAAGCGGAGTTTGTTGACGATGGCTTGTCTGTTCACGGTGAGGTCTTCATGGATGGTGGTATCCTAATACAAGACTATGGATCAACACTATGGACAACGGTGTGTAACATTCTTATCTCTTTTATTATTATGTTATAGTTTAATGATTTATGATTTAATGTTTATATATTTAGCTTTTTAAAATTTCTGTATAATGTGTATTATCACTTCTTTACATTTTCATTTCATCTCCCTGTTTCTCTGATCTGACATAACACTATCTCTATCTTATCGCGTGCTCTCTCTCTGTCTTTTCTCTCCCTTTCCCCTTCACTATATTCTCTCTTTTTCCTTCCCAATACCATTCACTCTCTCACTTCTATACCTCCTACCCCTGGGGATCGTCCCCCTCTCTCTCTCCTCCCCAATCATATGTCATTTTCAGGAGCTCTTCTCGCTAACCATCTGTCACATCCAAATTATCGCAACATACTGACATAGGCATACAAATGATGTTGTACTTTCAATCTATTTTTTCTGTTGTTTTTTCAATTCCGAGTTTCTTTAGTGATAGATAATCGCTTTTCTTCAAGAAACCACTTCCCCTTTTCTTATCGGCCAGCCGTTCATATATGGGCAATTTTAATAATTCAGTTCATTCTCATTTAGCATTTCCTGTTATGATCTGTTTTTTAATCATTCCATTCTGTATTTGTATGTTTTAAATGCGTTTATGAAGACTTTGCATTGAATAAACTTGGAATTTGAATTGATCAATTGTAAGCTTTGTTAAGAAATGATATGGATAAAAATAATACATTGCTGTTTTCAATCAAAAAGGGTATACTTTAATTTATTTGCTTAAAATAATTATGGTTTGAATGGAAGAAGAAAATGTGACCTAAATTTCAAAATTTCTAAGAAACGTCCACACTATATCTTTTAAGCCTATCCATAAGCCCACACGTACATGTTTATGGCTAAATTCTGTTTCAATTAACCACCCCCCCCTCCACCTCCCTGAATAGTGACCATTATAAGGCGATAATGAGGTCACCTATCGAATATTATTGGAACTAAAATGACAGACACGTGAAGGGCATAAGCCTCGTGGTAGATCAATGCTAATTAAGGGATTCATGCTTTATACAGAATGAGCATCCCAGAGAATTACGTACCGAACTCGTGTATATTTTTCTCAAAATGATATTGAAACTAATCGTACATTTCGCGGCCCATGGATGGAATAGCAACAAACTGACTTGTGACACTTAGCTGACAAGTTGCGCGATGTGTCGAGATGTCGTTAATCTTGTAGTTATGACGGTTTCGAGAAACGGCCCCCGTAGCACCCACTGACCTCTATAGCACCGCCGGATGGCGCTCGTTATTTTTGCTACTACATACATACGGGGGTCTAACGGGTCGGTATCGTAAATTTGGCCACGTCTTCACAATCATTCTGTTTAACTCCGGTAGTTCTCGAGTTAAAGTGATTTCTATCCGTCTATATCAGGATCATATCGAAATGGAGCTGTATTCAACTCTTTTGATCGGTACATTTCTTGTTGTGCTTGGTGGTGTGCTAGCAGAGGATACTAAGGGACGTGGTAAGTAATTTTTGTCTATTTTGATGAAATATCGGAATGAATGCCCACACAATTATGAAGGCATGGGACTGCAATTTAAAAACCTGCACTTTTCCAAAGACATCCAGATCAGAGCTGACTAATATTTGTTTTAAACATGGGCTTAGCTGTTCATCTGCATCTAGATATACATCACAAGTGCATTTCACGAAACGTTGATAATAATAGTTAATACAAGATTAACAACAATTCTCAATGCTGTTCCTTGACTTTACACTTGCAATTAATTGTCATGATTGTCAAGTCTCAAGACGACTTGTAAATGTGTTTCACAAATCTGTCTTTGACATGGGCAAGACGCTAGACGAGCGACGATTTACTCAGGGCTGTCAACCCTCCCGCACTTGGAGGGAGTCTCACGCCACCACGGCCACGCTCATTCTCCTGGCGCCCCAAAAGCTCGTAGCACGAGACTCCCGCCACCACGCCTTTCTCCCGCTCTCCCGCCAACGATGTAAAATCTCCCGGTTTCTGAAAAAACCTCCCGCCAAACCATACCGTATTAAAAAAAAAGAAGAAGAAAGTGCTCTAACGTTACAAGGTTTGAAGGTATACCAGTTGGGGACGAAAGCTCGAAGCAAGTAGCAGCTCGACTTGTCAAATTGCGTCCTACGACTTTCAGTATTGCCTATTGGTTCAAATCTAACGTTATTCTATTCTAAACCAGGCCACAACGACTCGCCCACTTGTTCAAAAAGCCATAGGGGCTCGGGCCGAATCACTACACATGTATACTTGAAAACTAAGCCTAGGCTTGAATGTATGATACATTTAGATGTCTTTTTTCAGCATTTTGTTGGTCGAAGTTGCACCCTGTGTTGAAATTCTTGCAGCCGTAGTTTTAACTGTTATGCGCATAAAGGATGATGACGTCACCAATTGACATTGATTAGTTTAGTGTACTAAGGCTTGTGCAGGGAGTGTGCTGAATTTAGCTTCATTCCCGCGCTTGCCGATACAGTAATCGTTATTGTTGTTCAATTTCAAAATCACGTTTTATATCTGAAAAAAAAGAAGAAAGAAAACCTGCACTTTTGAAATAAATGTTTTCTTTTCCTTTAACAGGTTTAGGAGAGCAATATGATTGGGTTACCTTTGAAGATGGATTGAAGCTAGCCAAAGAGAAGTAAGTTTATGATGATAAGTTGCTTAATCAATTTGGTTAAAACCCATACTTCACTTTTTTAAAAAATACATTATTTTTTGTTCTTTTTCATGGGTGATGCTGATCGGTGTACTTTTCCTGTAGGAAATAAATGATTTTCTGAAATGAAAACTCATGGACATAATATTCTATAGTTAAAATTATGCCAATTTGTGTGGAGTATTGATTTTAAACTCAAACATACATGTTTTGCCAACTTAAAACTTTTCTAGAGCCTAGGTGTTGTGATCTACATGTGTTGGATTTATAAGCCTCCCTAGCAGTAGCCTCTTGTCGATGCCCTCGCGCTGTTGGAGTCTCTAAATTCTGACGAGCGAAGCGAGTCAGAGAAACCGAGGCGCTTGGGCTGAGGGCCTCTTGACAAGTGATCTGAATTTCTTATGTTTTACTTTGTTTGGCGAATATTCCGACCCAGCAGAGTTCGGTGAAAGTCATCCAATCAGAGAGAGCTACTATGACGTAATATCTACCGCTCTGTGCGAATTCCCTCCGTGAGAGCGAGACTGGCCGCCTAGTTGTAGTCTGCAAGCACAAACCCTGGTCAGTCGTAAAAGAGAGTGTGCACTATAAGACTACCATATGCCACGTACTATAGCTGCTCCTGACCTATATTGGTACAACCAGTAGGTACCAGTAGATAGCTGGGCTAGGTTTCTCTCAAGGCAAAATGATTTTTTGATAAAGTATCAAATTAGGGTCTGTGCTTGCAGACTAGCCTAGTTGGGCAATCCCAAACACACACGTACACACACACAATCGCTGCGGTCTAGACATGCATAATTCAGTAGGAAATCGGGTCTCATGAATATATAATTCAGATCACTTGTCAAGAGGCCCTCCGCGCAAGCGCCTCGGTTTCTCTGACTCGCTTCGCTCGTCAGAATTTAGAGACTCCAACAGCGCGAGGGCATCGACAAGAGGGCCTGATTGGCAGGCATATACATGTAGTTTTCATACAAGGTCATCAAATGCTGTGCACAATTATTATAAGGGTGCATATGATGCGATTGGTTTGTTGCTCATAAATTTGGAGTGACCGTGTGACATCACAATGCTTGTCAGTAATTATTTTACCTTGCAGTTGGCTTGCTTTAAAAGTAAATGCTCAGATGCAATCAGAATTTCTTAGCGAAGTAAAATACTAAGTATAATACTGACGTTTACTGAATTTAATATGGACCCAGGAATATTAAAGTTTTTGAGCCAAAGCACAAAACTATGTATGTACATGTATGTATGGGGACGGGCTAACTCGGACACGGGACAACTTGGGCCCGTTGCAAAAACGATTACAGTAGTATTTGCAGGTTTAGGGTTGGGTTTAGGGTTTGGGTTAGGGTTAGAGTTAGGGTTTGGGTAAAATGACAAAAAAATGACAGTTTTTGCAGCGGGGCGGTGTTGTCCCCGGGTCTGAGTTAGCCCGGATCTGTAGGTATGTATGTGTGTATATTACCATGTGATCTCTAATAATATTGTTCTTTCAGCAACAAACCTATGATGTTGGTCATTCACAAGACTTGGTGTGGAGCATGTAAAGGTGAATTTATAATCTTGTATTCTTCATTTGAGATCAAATGACAGAGGAAGCAGAAAAGCTTTAGATGTGTATTAGAAAACTTTTTGACAAATCTGAAGTGACTAATGCAAAATGGAACTGTGGAAACAGGTTGGCTTTTAATTTGTAACAGCAACAGGTTTGAATTTTAAATGGACATGTTTTATGATTTATGCTTTCTTTGCCTACAAACTGGGTCAAGCATACCTTGGTATGAAAATAAGCAATGTCTTTCAGATGGTGACGTTAAAGTTTGGTCCCATAATCATATCACGTCGGTAAGAATCAATTTACACCCACACACACACACACACACACACACACACACACACACACAGAGGTCCAAATCCTTCTCAACAAACATTACTCATGAAATATTAGTCATGGAATTTGTTTGGAAATGTTTCCAAATATGGCTCAGATTGAACCAGATCAAGATTATCTTAACAAAATAAACAGAAGCCTCTGGACCTGGACCAAAGGACTTTATGCTTTGAGGCCATTCTCCTTCCAAGTTTTATTGTTACTCTGAGACCTTAATTTAACAACTAAATTATTCATACCCTTAATAATAATAATAATAATAATAATTGATTCTTATTGAGCGCTACTACAGACAAACTGATCAGAGCGCTATACAACAGAAAAGAAACATACAAATCATAACAATTAAACAAGGAACAGTAATTAAGATATTATGAACGAAAAGAAAATTTAGCTACTCAACATGTACATTATTGATTCAATATGGAAAGAGTTGGGTTTTAAGTTTCTTTTTGAAAGTGTCTTCTGTACTACATAGGCGGAGGTGTTGTGGTAGAGTGTTCCAGGTGGATGGTCCAGCATAAGAGAATGAGCTGCCTTGGTGTTGGTGCGTGATAATCATCAAACTTGCCAAATATAGCTAAATACTGACAGTGGCTAGACTGATATATTTGGCTACTTACAATCTAAGTCATGGGATCCTAGCCTCGTACATATATACAGGTTTCAATTTCAGACCATGCATAATGGTGCAGAGCCCTGTTGTGAGGTGACGATTGCTTCTTATCCTGATGAATGTTATCCTATCGTGAGACATGGCATTGTGTTCCACACGTTGATATCTCTCTGTTTTCCTTTCCTGTCTTCACCATGTAGCATTAAAACCCAAGTTTGCTGCCAGTGAAGAAATACTTAAATTAAGCAGTGACTTTGTGATGGTCAACGTAGAGGTGAGTTGTCATTTTAAAATGCTATATATATATATATATATATAATATGATATCTCAGTAGTTCAAAACGGAGTCGGGCTTACTTGGCTCAAAGACAACTCGGCCCAGCTGCAAAAACGGTCAGTTTTTGCAGGTTTAGGGTTAGGTTAAGGGTTAGGGTTAGAGTTAGAGTTAGGGTTAGGGTAAAATGACAAAAACTGACCGTTTTTTGCAGCTGGGCCGACTTGTCTTTGAGCTGAATCAGCCCGGGTTCTTCAAAACATGTTCACGTATCATGGATGAAATTTTTGGCCAATCTGAAACTAGAATGTGAATGTGTATTCCAGATTTGCCTTCAGCCCCTTATTTTGAACATTTTATGGCAGGAATAATGACAATAGTGATTTCAAATGATACAAGGCACTATCCTCTAGTGTATAAACAGGTTAAAGTGCATCAGTCAATGGAAATATATATTTGTGTATACATGTACCTAAAATGTATAATACCACCCCCCCCCCCCCAAAAAAAAAAGAAGTCACACTTTTCGTGCGCACTCTATTCTATGCAAGTGCATAATTGTGTGTTGGCTTTTTTTTTACTGAGAAAGTATTTAAAATATAATATCTCTATGTCGAAGTAATATTTGAAGCTTATATTTTAAATAAAGTATAGCGACTTGGAACCCGTTACATCACGAGTAAGATATGTTTTGGTTAACGGTACACTTTAAGTACATGTAGTTGAATTGGTATGTGTTTATTTTCTTTTTTGAAGAAGTGAAGGGAATTAATATTGTTAAAAAATGCAGGGAATTTGTTTCTAAAATTGTGGGCCAGTGGATCAAAAGATTTACTTTGGGAGTTGAAAAAGTAGGAACTGATGTTGATAGAAGTATATATGATGGTACTGAAAGAGTTAAGAGATCAAACTTTCATTGTGATGTTTTGTGATGTTTATCTTCCCCAGGATGACGAGGAACCTGAAGGGTCTCAATTTCAACCCGACGGTGGATACATTCCTCGTATACTCTTTCTAAACTCAGACGGCGTAGTTCAAAGTGACCTAATCAACACGTTAGGAAATCCCCAATACAAGTACTTCTATTCAAATGCTCTAATGGGTATGTACAGCTAGTCGTGAGTGATGCATGTATATGTTTAGTAGGTTATATAACACACTTCCTATAGATATTGATCTGCTGGATTAGAGGGGGGGGGGGGGGTGTAATATGTAGCCCCTTCCTCCAGCCCCACCCAACGTTTCGAATAGACAGGTACAAACAATACCGTGGCATTGCAACAAAAAAAAAAATATGCTTGGTTGCATGCTCAGTCAAATCTTCCTTTCAAAATGATTTACATCTCCTGAACAATATACATGTACTTCAAATTCAAATCTGCCAAATATGCAGTTGAGAATTCTACAAGTAAGGTACAAATAATTAAGATCCCCTGCTAGTGATCATGTAGGATCTAAACACTCTTTGTTTTTGTTTGGTTCCCTCACTTCTTAACCAATTATTAAATTGTGTAACAACTTCTTTCTAAATCTTATTTCCCTCTTATCGCCACTTGTCAAATCTTTGTCATATATTCAGCTTTGAATGAAATTTTTCAATTATGGTTTCTCTTTTTTTATATATTTTTTTGTCTCTTATTCATCCCTTACAGTGACTGAAGCAATGAAATCTGCAGTCAAAGCACTGGGAGGAAGCAGAAATGATGAGTTGTGACATGGATCTCTAGTTTAAACTATTTATCAAGCAATAATGGCAGGTGCCCACTCTTGTGATGTAAACACTATGGCCCGAACTCACAAAGGAGGTTTAACTTAACCCATGGTTACTTTAAACCCTCATTAACATAACCCATGGTTTAAAAATTAGTGCAAAATATTGGACCTCTGTCTGTGTCGCGCTTATGGATTATGTAAATAAAGATTTAAACCATGGGTTGAATTTAAACCTCTTTGTGAATTTGGGCCTTTATGATTTGTCTATTCAGAGACAGAAAGGTGCTAACTCTTTCTAAAAGTGTATGACAGGGCTTTTGATGTCCCTTACTAATGCTACTTATCTTGACAATAATAAGACATTTAAACATAATTCTTTTTCACAATATGATACAAGTAAAGGACAAGTTCACCATTATCTGATGGTCAGAATAACATTACCTCATATAATGTATACTATTTATATGTGATGCAGATATCGTCCCTTTGCCACATGTTAGCCAATGTTATTTTTTTATGGGATAGATATAGGCCTACCAAAGGCTTTCAAGATTATTTAACTATGCCCAGTGCAAGATTAATCTATACTGATATTAAAAGGGTTGTCATGGAAATAATCAAGACCCTAGTAATGGGTAATTTTGCAAAACCATGATGCACAATGAATCGTTTTGTTTAGTAGTGTCTATCGTTTTGTGCACGTGTGGTAAACAAGTGACCTTGCAGAGAGTTGAAGAAAGCACCCAAAATGTTAATGTCCCACTGGCTTTCGAGTGTAAACTTTGTTTAAAGTTTATATTGTATTGTGGTCAAAACAGATATATATTGTAATGGTTCGTTCGTTCATGTCTCCTTAGATCAGGATAGTTATGTAAAGTTCCTTATTAAATTAAATTAAATTTTAAATTAAGTTCTTCCATGGCCCGATTGCTGCAATGGCCGTTTCATTAACAAGGGTCAGGTCTTCATCTGTAATAGTGATTCATGCCTTTGAAGATGGTTCATGGTATGCTTGGTCAAAAATCGTTTCTTTGAGACCAACATCATATACATACACACTCTAGTATTCAACATCGCAAAGTGGATACTTAGTTAGAATAGGATACTTAGAAAAGGCTTTTAGGAGTGATAGGATTTGCATGTAAATGTTAGAAATATTCTGTAGCTGAATTTTTATTAGTTTTTCATGACTTTATAAAAAAAATAATGATTACTTTAGACTGTCTATAGGCCTTTATAATTGTATACTTTTACAGACAAGTGCCTTGGAATACTCATATTTTGAGGTACTTTGTGGATTAATCTGTCAGTCGTTATTCAATGTCTCACAGATCGGCATTCGTACATGACACTATTGACCCATACCATACAAAACTAGTCTCTTCACTTCATTATACATAGAGGTGGTATCATGATTGTTATACATTTTTGTAAGAAATGCATGGACTGAGTAATTACACAAAATACCTATATTAGACTCATGATTCTGGGCCCTGTGTTATAAAACTTTTCCTCCATAACAAATGCTAAATTGCTATGACAAATTTACAAATTTGCTCTCAGCCAATCAATGCCAGGAGTTCAGTAGCTTATAAAAGTTATGGTACCTTGTTACGGATGAAAAGTTTTGTGAAACAGGGCCCTGGTGTCTGGATAAAATGTTTTAATATCAATTTAAAGAGATTCACATTTATCCAAGCTCATGGTTGAAATCGCATTCTTTTTTGCTACAAAACCATGGACATGCAATTGGTTCTTGTCAAATTGTTACAGATGATTACTTTTCTAATTGGTAGATGGACTAAGCAAAATACATTCTCACAAGCCAAACAAGCTTGACTAATTTCATGCTTTTGTCTACATTCTATAGGTGACATATTCATTGAGTAACAAAAGATCTTAGTTTGAATTTATTAGGCTGTGTATGTTATCTAGACATTTATAGAATGTTATTACACTGCATGAATAAAAAAGGAAAAAGATAAATATCAATAGTAATTCTGTCCATGATAACATTTCATATTCTTTCGTGGTAACCTGATATTTGTTTAGGTGACATTTATGGTTAGGGCTAGCATTGTGATTGGGTTACCGTTAGGTAGAGGTTTAGGTTAATGTACAGAGTTCGGACTAGGGTTAAATATGAATGTAGAATAGACTCGTGCAGGAGATAGAAGATAGACCATGGAGCACATGTCATCTGATCTTTGTGTCCTATAACACAGTTGCTCTCTCCCTTTCTTCATAATATGAGAGATAGAGAGAGAGAGAGAGAGAGAAAGAGAGAGAAGAGGGGGGGGGGGGTGGGAGAGATAAACACACTTGTCTGTTGTGTCGCTCGGTACATTATACAATTACAGTAAAATATAAGTAATTGAAGTAAGAAGTAGGGATATAGAGGAGAATTGAGTGAAGGGGACATAAGGAGTGATAGCTAGTAGGAGGGAGACAAGTAGAGAAAGAGAGAGAGAGAGAGAGTGGGGTAATGAGTGAGAGAGAATGAGATGAGGGAGAGAGAAAGAGATGCGGGAGAGAGAAGAGAGAGAGAGAGTGGGATAATGAGTGGGAGAGAATGAGATGAGGGAGAGAGAAAGAGATGAGGGAGAGAGAAGAGAGAGAGAGAGAGAGTGGGATAATGAGTGGGAGAGAATGAGATGAGGGAGAGAGAAAGAGATAAGAGAGAGAGAAGAGAGAGAGAGTGGGATAATGAGTGGGAGAGAATAAGATGAGGGAGAGAGAAGAGATGAGGGAGAGAGAAGAGAGAGAGAGAGAGAGTGGGATAATGAGTGGGAGAGAATGAGATGAGGGAGAGAGAATGAGATGAGGGAGAGAGAAAGAGATGCGGGAGAGAGAAGAGAGAGAGAGAGTGGGATAATGAGTGGGAGAGAATGAGATGAGGGAGAGAGAAAGAGATGAGGGAGAGAGAAGAGAGAGAGAGAGAGAGTGGGATAATGAGTGGAAGAGAATGAGATGAGGGAGAGAGAATGAGATGAGGGAGAGAGAATGAGATGAGGGAGAGAGAAAGAGATGAGGGAGAGAGAAGAGAGAGAGAGAGAGAGTGGGATAATGAGTGGGAGAGAATGAGATGAGGGAGAGAGAAAGAGATGAGGGAGAGAGAAGAGAGAGAGAGAGAGTGGGATAATGAGTGGGAGAGAATGAGATGAGGGAGAGAGAATGAGATGAGGGAGAGAGAAAGAGATGAGGGAGAGAGAAGAGAGAGAGAGAGAGTGGGATAATGAGTGGGAGAGAATGAGATGAGGGAGAGAGAATGAGATGAGGGAGAGAGAAAGAGATGCGGGAGAGAGAAGAGAGAGAGAGAGAGGGATAATAAGTGGGAGAGAATGAGATGGGAGAGAGAAAGAGATGAGGGAGAGAGAAGAGAGAGAGAGAGAGTGGGATAATGAGTGGGAGAGAATGAGATGAGGGAGAGAGAATGAGATGAGGGAGAGAGAATGAGATGAGGGAGAGAGAAAGAGATGAGGGAGAGAGAAGAGAGAGAGAGAGAGAGTGGGATAATGAGTGGGAGAGAATGAGATGAGGGAGAGAGAAAGAGATGAGGGAGAGAGAAGAGAGAGAGAGAGAGTGGGATAATGAGTGGGAGAGAATGAGATGAGGGAGAGAGAAAGAGATGAGGGAGAGAGAAGAGAGAGAGAGAGAGTGGGATAATGAGTGGGAGAGAATAAGATGAGGGAGAGAGAAGAGATGAGGGAGAGAGAAGAGAGAGAGAGAGAGTGGGATAATGAGTGGGAGAGAATGAGATGAGGGAGAGAGAAAGAGATGAGGGAGAGAGAAGAGAGAGAGAGAGTGGGATAATGAGTGAGAGAGAATGAGATGAGGGAGAGAGAGAGAAAGAGATGAGGGAGAGAGAAGAGAGAGAGAGAGAGAGTGGGATAATGAGTGGGAGAGAATGAGATGAGGGAGAGAGAAAGAGATGAGGGAGAGAGAAGAGAGAGAGAGAGAGTGGGATAATGAGTGGGAGAGAATGAGATGAGGGAGAGAGAAAGAGATAAGAGAGAGAGAAGAGAGAGAGAGAGTGGGATAATGAGTGGGAGAGAATGAGATGAGGGAGAGAGAAAGAGATGAGGGAGAGAGAAGAGAGAGAGAGAGTGGGATAATGAGTGAGAGAGAATGAGATGAGGGAGAGAGAAAGAGATGAGGGAGAGAGAAGAGAGAGAGAGAGTGGGATAATGAGTGAGAGAGAATGAGATTGGGGAGAGAGAGAGAAAGAGATGAGGGAGAGAGAAGAGAGAGAGAGAGTGGGATAATGAGTGGGAGAGAATGAGATGAGGGAGAGAGAAAGAGATGAGGGAGAGAGAAGAGAGAGAGAGAGAGTGGGATAATGAGTGGGAGAGAATGAGATGAGGGAGAGAGAAAGAGATAAGAGAGAGAGAAGAGAGAGAGAGAGTGGGATAATGAGTGAGAGAGAATGAGATGAGTGAGAGAGAAAGAGATGAGGGAGAGAGAAGAGAGAGAGAGAGTGGGATAATGAGTGGGAGAGAATGAGATGAGGGAGAGAGAAAGAGATGAGGGAGAGAGAAGAGAGAGAGAGAGAGTGGGATAATGAGTGGGAGAGAATGATATGAGGGAGAGAGAAAGAGATAAGAGAGAGAGAAGAGAGAGAGAGAGAGTGGGATAATGAGTGGGAGAGAATGAGATGAGGGAGAGAGAAGAGAGAGAGAGAGAGTGGGATAATGAGTGGGAGAGAATGAGATGAGGGAGAGAGAGAGAAAGAGATGAGGGAGAGAGAAGAGAGAGAGAGAGTGGGATAATGAGTGGGAGAGAATGAGATGAGGGAGAGAGAAAGAGATAAGAGAGAGAGAGAAGAGAGAGAGAGAGTGGGATAATGAGTGGGAGAGAATGAGATGAGGGAGAGAGAAGAGAGAGAGAGAGAGAGTGGGATAATGAGTGGGAGAGAATGAGATGAGGGAGAGAGAGAGAAAGAGATGAGAGAGAAGAGAGAGAGAGAGTGGGATAATGAGTGAGAGAGAATGAGATGAGGGAGAGAGAAAGAGATGAGGGAGAGAGAAGAGAGAGAGAGAGAGAGAGAGTGGGATAATGAGTGGGAGAGAATGAGATGAGGGAGAGAGAAAGAGATGAGGGAGAGAGAAGAGAGAGAGAGAGTGGGATAATGAGTGAGAGAGAATGAGATGAGGGAGAGAGAGAGAAAGAGATGAGGGAGAGAGAAGAGAGAGAGAGAGAGAGTGGGATAATGAGTGGGAGAGAATGAGATGAGGGAGAGAGAAAGAGATGAGGGAGAGAGAAGAGAGAGAGAGAGAGTGGGATAATGAGTGGGAGAGAATGAGATGAGGGAGAGAGAAAGAGATAAGAGAGAGAGAAGAGAGAGAGAGAGAGAGTGGGATAATGAGTGAGAGAGAATGAGATGAGTGAGAGAGAAAGAGATGAGGGAGAGAGAAGAGAGAGAGAGAGTGGGATAATGAGTGGGAGAGAATGAGATGAGGGAGAGAGAGAGAGATAAGAGAGAGAGAAGAGAGAGAGAGAGAGTGGGATAATGAGGGAGAGAGAAAGAGATGAGGGAGAGAGAAAGAGATGAGGGAGAGAGAAGAGAGAGAGAGAGAGTGGGATAATGAGTGGGAGAGAATGAGATGAGGGAGAGAGAAAGAGATGAGGGAGAGAGAAGAGAGAGAGAGAGTGGGATAATGAGTGGGAGAGAATGAGATGAGGGAGAGAGAGAGAGATAAGAGAGAGAGAAGAGAGAGAGAGAGAGTGGGATAATGAGTGAGAGAGAATGAGATGAGGGAGAGAGAGAGAAAGAGATGAGGGAGAGAGAAGAGAGAGAGAGAGAGAGTGGGATAATGAGTGGGAGAGAATGAGATGAGGGAGAGAGAAAGAGATGAGGGAGAGAGAAGAGAGAGAGAGAGTGGGATAATGAGTGGGAGAGAATGAGATGAGGGAGAGAGAGAGAGATAAGAGAGAGAGAAGAGAGTGAGAGAGACTGGGATAATGAGTGAGAGAGAATGAGATGAGGGAGAGAGAGAGAAAGAGATGAGGGAGAGAGAAGAGAGAGAGAGAGAGAGTGGGATAATGAGTGGGAGAGAATGAGATGAGGGAGAGAGAAAGAGATGAGGGAGAGAGAAGAGAGAGAGAGAGTGGGATAATGAGTGAGAGAGAATGAGATGAGGGAGAGAGAGAGAAAGAGATGAGGGAGAGAGAAGAGAGAGAGAGAGAGAGAGTGGGATAATGAGTGGGAGAGAATGAGATGAGGGAGAGAGAAAGAGATGAGGGAGAGAGAAGAGAGAGAGAGAGAGTGGGATAATGAGTGGGAGAGAATGAGATGAGGGAGAGAGAAAGAGATAAGAGAGAGAGAAGAGAGAGAGAGAGTGGGATAATGAGTGAGAGAGAATGAGATGAGTGAGAGAGAAAGAGATGAGGGAGAGAGAAGAGAGAGAGAGAGTGGGATAATGAGTGGGAGAGAATGAGATGAGGGAGAGAGAAAGAGATGAGGGAGAGAGAAGAGAGAGAGAGAGAGAGTGGGATAATGAGTGGGAGAGAATGAGATGAGGGAGAGAGAAAGAGATAAGAGAGAGAGAAGAGAGAGAGAGAGTGGGATAATGAGTGAGAGAGAATGAGATGAGTGAGAGAGAAAGAGATGAGGGAGAGAGAAGAGAGAGAGAGAGTGGGATAATGAGTGGGAGAGAATGAGATGAGGGAGAGAGAAAGAGATGAGGGAGAGAGAAGAGAGAGAGAGAGAGTGGGATAATGAGTGGGAGAGAATGAGATGAGGGAGAGAGAAAGAGATAAGAGAGAGAGAAGAGAGAGAGAGAGTGGGATAATGAGTGGGAGAGAATGAGATGAGGGAGAGAGAAAGAGATGAGGGAGAGAGAAGAGAGAGAGAGAGTGGGATAATGAGTGAGAGAGAATGAGATGAGTGAGAGAGAAAGAGATGAGGGAGAGAGAAGAGAGAGAGAGAGAGTGGGATAATGAGTGGGAGAGAATGAGATGAGGGAGAGAGAGAGAGATAAGAGAGAGAGAGAAGAGAGCTAGGTGATTGGGGATAAAGGAGAGAGGAGGAAGGGAGTGAGATACAGATATTTTTTTCTTCTATCTATCCTCTTTCGAGGGAATTTATTCACTCATATTGTAAAATAACAACTATTTACAACAGTGTTTATATACAGAATTCATATCATATATACCGGGTGAGTCAAAATAAAGTTTACACTCAGAAAATTGTAATTTATTTTAAAAGTCAGCTATGAATGAAAGATTATCATACATGTTTTGAACGAGTGTTATGTCCCGAATCGTTTGGTATCATTTTTGTGTGGTGTGTTCACGTTTGGATGAACAGGAGACATTGTTTGCGAGAGTGAAAGAATCGACTTGCGCAAAAGTATCAAAGGAAGAGAATGAATTGAATGTATCATTATGAGATGCATTGCAATATGCTTTTTTCAGAAGCAAAGTCACACACACACGGGAATTTTTTTTTTTTTTTTTTTTTTTTTTTGGTGCTTTTTACTATTTTTAATACGTATTATGCTTATATGTTAGTTTTATACTGTTCTTACCTTTGCCTGTGAGCTTTGGTGATATTCGTTATTTATATTTCCGTGTTTTTATCCTGTTCAGGACCATGATGTAAAACAGATTTTGTATCTACAATGTATATCTGATTCTTGATATCCTGATTAAATATATTTCAATAAAATTGAATTTATATTCCGTTTTGATATTAAACGGAAAATTTGCGATTTTACAGAAATGTTCATTACGTAATAATGACTTGGCTGCGTGTATTTTTCATTTATCTGAGTGTGCGAGTGCGCGGAAGTGTGTTTGTGTGTGTGTGTGTGTTTGTGTGTGTGTGTGTGCGTGACTGACTGGGTTTGACTCTGTGTGTGGTTTTTTTTATATGTATGGCTCGATTAGTTTTCTTAGGGATGTTTTTAGGATCTGTAAAGAGCGAATTAATACCCAATCCCAATTGTTTTGATAAAACATATCGGCATCACTTTGGCGCAAGTCGATTTTTGCACTCTCTTAAACAATGTCTCCTGTTCATCCAAGCGTGACCACATGCCACACAAAATGATACCAAAAGATTTGGGATAAAACTCTTTTTCATAAGATGTATAATAGTTTACTGTTTATAAATGATTTTTAAAATAATTAGGAATTTTGCTAGGTGTATACTTTTTTTTATTTGACTCACTCTGTAGTACAAAAATGAAACTAATGTAACATAATCAATAACTAAAATAATGAAATATTTTAGTTACTTCCTTTGTATCGAATTTGTTATGATTTCATTCCATATTGAGATAGGTGCGAATTTCTACCTTTAATTGTATTATCAAATACATCATGTATCCTGTGCTTTTCACTTCCAAAAATTCTCTAATATAGTTTCTATAGATAACAAATTGAGCGAGGTTTAATATAAGATTTACAAGATTTATTTCACTTTTCTCTATTTCATGACCTATTAAATGAATTTTTTCGTTTATAAAGATTTTAAAATTAAACGAAGTATCCATTAATTTGAATACAAGCTTCCAAAAAAGCGAAACCTTGTGACAAACCAGGAAAAGGTGGTCAGTTGTATCTGGGATCTGTGTATCTGTGAACTATTTACATATTGTATCCTATTACGTAACTTCTGCAACCAAAAATCGGAAATACACTATTTAGCTTTGCCAATTCGAAGGCAGAAAGTAATTCATTTTCTTGAAAATAATATAAATGGAATAACCTTCTTTCCAAATACTGTTTACTAAGACTTGTAACACTCTTAGTATATTATTTCTTATCCAGTTTGGAAATGCAATATTTTTAATATCGCTATTATACCAAATCATTTCAATTTCGATATCTTTACTTTAAACATATAAATGTATTTCAATTTACCTCAGAAACAAAACATGTCAACATAAAAATTAGGCCACTTTTTTTTCTACAAATACGATACTGTGGCTGCAGCGAGGTCGATATCAAATAAACAAGTCTGAACAAAGGCTTCTACGGGAATTTGTAGCCTTTAATGATTTGAGTAACCATTTCATCCGTTTCATTCCGTGAAAACTGTGGATAAATCACAGATAAAGAATCGTAAATACAAGTACATCATAGCATCATCAATACAGCAATAACACAGTCTCTTTGAGAAACTCATGAAATAATGTAAATTGTGTCATGATCTTTATAACCTATTCAAATTTCCCAGTCACTATTCTAGTCCATCTGCATTATGGCTTTACATAAATACAAACTCGCATTACTAGTGTCTCAACTAGACTTCATTATAATAGCTTGGTTGAACAATTAACTAGACAATAATAAATTCCAAATCTCTACTTAGTGCTTCAGCACTCTCATAATATATCTTCAAAGTATTTAGCTGTATCTTTACTGTTATCTTTGTTCTTGATACAAGGTAAAATGTACATTCATCATATTAAACCAACATGGGCTTGTATTTCTTACATTACATTACATACTGCAAACATACACTTCTCTCAGTATGAAGTTCAAAACATACACACTAAATTCCACTTTATGTTTCGAAAATTCATAGAAATACATTAAATATATAACCTCTTTGCCTGACTTAATGACAACATTATGACTTAAATCTCCTTGATGCGCTGGCAAAAAGGGGATTTTTGAACCTCAGCAAAACCATGTTCATGTAGCCTTCTGAGTGTTTAATATCAAGTGAATATCAACAGATGGCGCTTTACTAGGAACCTTGCCTGAGGAAGTGCTATTACAAATATATATGTATTCATGTCATGCATTAATTATAGTACAAGAAACAAATGACTTAGGTGATAAAGTAATTTCAAGTGCCACTGTCACAACAATACATATCGCTCTTTTCGCAAATAAAATGCGAACAAAGAGGCAAATCCTCAATTTTCTGGATCCAATATTTAAACAAAAAATTCTAAGCACTATGAAAACCTCTTAAATACTTAAACATCCATGAAAGACGGAGTGACTGACATGATAAACAGAGATAAAGAGAGAGAGAGAGAGAGAGAGAGAGACAGAAGGAAAGAGAGAGAGAGAGAGAGAAAGATATTTTGATCTTCAGAACAAATGAACTACCTGCTTTCAATTACTATTTCAGGCTGGTCTGAATATTCTGAAGGTGGGAGTGCAACATCATTCTGTACCAGTATTAAAATGGTTGTCACGGAGCTAATCATTACCAGAAATTAGTTTATTTTACAAAACGCCGGATTGTGTTGCACAAAGTAATGATTCCGCAAATTAGTGCCTATTGATTTGTGCAAAATTGCACGTGTGGCAAACGGGTGACTGGCAGAAAGGTGAAGAAAGCAAGCGAAGGCTGAACTGTCTATCATGCATTTATCAATGCGTTACCTGGGCAAAATGTTGACCGACGTGTTTTAAAGAAATCATACTTATTTTTTGGTGCTGGCGGGTAATAGACCTTAACACTGAATAATATATATTCTTACACAAGTTTACAACAGGATATTTATCCTGCCTTCGGCTCAAGATTCTGAATAAATCTATATAATGTACACGTTTAACCAATCTGTACAAAACATATCTATAACCTGACGATAAGAAATGTTACACAGCTTGAAGTGAAAAACAGATAAAAAAGATTATTGTACACAAATATTGAATCAGTGAAAAGTGGCATTTTTGCATTGTAAATGACAATCACTTTGACGAAATCAGACATAAATTTACCTTTTCATCCCTTAATTTACAAACTAGAAGTGATATTGTAGTTACTCGCCTCATGATCACCTACCATCCCAGTATAGCTTCCTGAGTGAGTTGCTAAAGGGATTACCTAACCAAGTACCAGGATTTAAAAACCACATAAGATATTTACTGTTTCTATAACATTTTGAAAGTAGCTGTTTAAGTTTCGTTATAATTCTTGCAACAATTGAAATAGTGTACTACAGTAGTATGAGCACATAGTAAGGAAGTATGAGCACCATGATAAATATAACCAACTCTGTGTATTGCATAACATGTTCATTATTGTTGATCTAGCATGTATCAATGCTGGCACCATACCCAAGCCTCTGCCTCGCTAGGGCTGCCTCTATATTTCTTCGTAAGTGTCTCCCGGATCTGATGTTATGGGTTCTAGATAGGTAACGTCGGTGTTGGGTTTCTTTAGATCTTGATACGTATGGGGGTCGGTAAGATTCTGGTAGTTTGGGGTATCTGTATTAAGATCTTGGTAGACATGGGTATCAGCATTCGGGTCTTCGTAGGTATTGGGGTCTTGCTTTGAGTCATCAAATCCAGGGTTCTCATACTTTGATGAGGTCTCACGTGCATTGTTTGGTGGGGACGCGGCTGGTTCAGTCTCTAAACGTCTTTGTTTGATCCTGGAAGTGAAATTCAATAATAAAAACGCATTAAGTTCCTCCTTCTTTATAATACCATTGAGATTCAGGTACACAAGCACACGCGCACGCACACTCACACACACACACACACGCACACACACACCCACACGCACACAAAGTTCAGATAAAAGTGAGGTGGGAATGGTCCCTGATGAGCATAACAGATCACTGCGTATGATTGTGGATGTCCCTTATAACATTTAAAACAAAATCATTATAAACCATTCATTGTATGAATATACTGTATTTTAAGGGCCTTTAGAATAGGATAATCCTGCAATCGCTTTATCAATTATCGTTTTGGCTCCCTTTAGATAAATAAATTCATATCTATATTTGTAAAAATGTTACCATATAGTGGCATGGACTTCACTTTTAATTGTTCTACTGTAGTTGAGTTAACTTACCTTCTATACATCACCAAAGTAATTAGTAGTATTGCGATGAGAGCGATGGGTACTATCACACCCCCTATCACAGCACTTAGTGGTTTCCTGGTACCACTATCATCACCTTTAGCACAAACAAAAATCACATACATGTAATTATGCTGTAATGAGGTATACATTTTGTTGGTCCGTTTTACAAAGTTTTTCTTGATTTTGTTTATTCATTTATTTATTCGTGTCCATTTTATAGAGCAGTGTAGGTCATTCAGTTAAAAAAATACTTTACAATGACGCCCTGCTGCAACATACAAATACACGAACCCCCCCCCCCAAAAAAAAGAAGTCTAACTTTTAGAGCCAAAAGCTCTGACCTCTGTTTTATCCGGGTGTATAATTATGCATTCCATTAATTTCAAACCATTTAACAATAAGATCATAATCATCTTGTAAGTTAATCTTAACTTGAGTAAAATTAACATCATTATTAAATATAAATGTATCATCTGCATAAACATATCTTTTTGAGTGTGAATGCAGATTCAAATTACACGCATCATTAAAAAAATAAGCAAACAATGAGAGGGTCGAGGAATGATTTATGCGGTACCCAAGTTTGAACATGTAAATATTCGCTATTGCAGCCTTTAACGACAACACAACAATTTATTGCGTTTTACCCCGGTCCCCAACATAAACAAATCTTCTGTACAGCCATGCTTTATGGCTCAAAGCATGGGCACACAAAAGATTTTTTTCTGTTGGGGACCGGGGGGAAATTCAATGAATTATTGATAATTTATTGCACTTTTTTGTGAAAACTGCCCCCTACCCTACCCCCCCCCCAACTGCGTACATTCATGGTTCAGTGGCAAAGCAATAGCCTCGTAACTGTGAGGCCCCAGGATCGAAACCGTGTCGACTATATAAGTGCCCTTTTTTGGGGCATTAATCCTCATTACTGTCATTTTTTACTTAAGGGCATAGGTCCCCTAGTTGATAAGCATAGTAGCATACACATGCTTTAGCAGTCACGCAAAACAAACACTGGCAAATTATTATTCAATAAAACCTGAGAATGTATACTATTTTCTAGATCTATTAGGAATAAATCAGTGTCAAAATAATTCCATAAAATGGGGTAAAAAAAATAATATTCCATCTTTATCAGCAACAGTGTAGATTATGTTTACTTCGATAAATGACAACTTTTCTTATCGTTTCATAAAGTTTCACAAAAACTTGTAACAAAGAAATGTTTTAGAAAAATGTATACATTCCATTTCTCCTTATATTAAACTATACATGATTAATGCAGACTAATCAACTTTCTCACCCAATCAAACAGAGAATAAGGAGTAATATCAGGATGAATATGTAAACAACGCTGATAAGCTACGAACTTATATACATACTTATTAAGGTTACAAACTGACTTTAGTTTGACATGTAGCTAGTATTTAATAATAATAATAATAATAATACATGAGATTTGTAAGGCGGGTTATTCTCTTGAAATCAAATGCTCAAGGCACACTCAAGAACAGGACTAATATAGAACACACGAATATAAAGGAACACTTAATTAAAATGCCGAATGCACTTTACTTTTACATCCTTTGGAAAACCACATTACCTACACAATGTTTTTAAGTATGACATTCAGGGTAGAACAAGTTTAATTTGTTTCATGCTCTTACCTGAGAGGATGGTCTTTGCATTCACGGGCTCGGACCAATTGCTAGAACCAGCTCCATTGACAGTTTGGACCTGACAAACATGGAAATAAGAATATGGTGTTGTAGCAATAATGGCGATACAAACATCGTCCACACACAAGACACACAAACGAATTGTTTCAATCTTAATTATATATATTCATGTCCTGGAGAAAATACAACTATCATAAGCGACCGCATAACAACAGTTAAATACATGTATTTAGATGCTATTAAAGCATTCAAATGTAATTTCGTTTAATGCAGTATCATGCATGTAATTTGGGAATGCTTGCTACATAAATGGCACAATTAAAAAAAATAATAACTTAGTAATTTCATCCCAAAGTATATAGTTTCTCCAAAAACGCTTAGGATAACAGCTCAAACTAAAATGTTCTAAATAGGAAAAGCTTGTACTAAAATATGAAGAGATTGAATATTCCCTTAAACGTTGGGTCCTAAGGATTGATATCAAGATATCTTACCTGAACTGTATAGTTGATTTCACGGGGTAGGTCTACCACAGTATGCTCTTCTTTAAACGCACCGTTCAATACTTCCTCTGACTTATAGTCACCATCAACAAGTACGGGATCAGTCTGCTGGTAGCGGATGATATACTTCTGGATGTTACCATTGATGTTAGATGGTAGAGGGGTAGACCAGGATACAGTGAAGGAGCTTGTAGTACTCTGTGGTATAGCCACATTGATAGGAGCAGGCGCGACTGATGAGAAGAAAATGGTTTATAACAATGTCACGCTGAAATGTGGTAGACTGATGTATTGATATTTCGGAATATCAATTACTTTTGTTACTCTCGTCTTAACAGGTTCAATAGTACAATGTCTAATTCCAGAAAACAAATCTATTTAGATTGCAATAAAAGCGACTATTGTATAAAAAATAAAAATAAAACAAATTGGGGTTTGAAAATGTAATGACATAACAAAATAGTAATCTAATGCCTCAAAGAGTCATGTATATGATTTATATTGTGCAGACAAAGTAATTTAGTATACAAACACTGCTATTAAAAAATATATTTACAGATTTCATTGCTCTCGATCTCCTCCGATTTCTAACGTGCTGGCCCGTACTCCACTAACATTTAACCCGACGCTGGAATTAAGCATAGTCAGAAATTGAGTTTAACAAAGAAGTCATACCGAGGTCTGATTCTAACAAGAATATTAACAGTGTCACTTAACAAGCAAAAAGCAACACCCTCACCCTCATGGAAAAATACATCCCAAGATTAACACTAACCTTCTTCAAGTGTTTTGCCGATAGTCTCATGGCTCCTATCACTTTCCTCGTCTTTATTTGATGCAGTCAATTGAATGGTATAGTCCAGATAGGTATCTAACCCTCTTATCGTGTAGGAGCTAGTGTCACGAAAAACCAGGATAGAGCTTGAAGAAGTTGATCCAGAGGGAGCATAGTAGATCATATAATTGGTCACTCCACTCCTGCATTCTGCTGATTCCGAGGGGAGGTGCTGAAACATAAAGATACAAATATATGTTGCATACAGCACAACCACATGAAAGAAGTTACTTTCACACTAGTAAAACAAACTATAATATGTTATTATATCTTGCCTACAGTTTTTCGCATTGAAGGATGCTCCTGTATCATCCTGCTAAACAAGAATCTCTTGATTAACAACAATTTCTATATTTGCTTCCTTCTGTAAAATAAAATAAAAACTCCATTTCATAAACCCAACAGCTCTTACTTTCAACTAAGCAAAGAAAACAAATTGGTACACTTTTTATATATTTTTTTTTTTACTTAGATCTATTTTATTTAGTCAATTGTTAAGGTATGTAAAGAATTATTCACAAATAGTTGGTGGTGTGGAGGAGTTTTTATTTGACATATCTCGACGAAAAAATAGGTAAAATTAAATCTTATCAAGGTTGTAAGTGTTTTATCAGCTTCATATCACATAAACGGTGCGGTTCTACCTGTATGTAATACAAAAATGAATAGTAACAGCTATGCATTTTGTGCTCTGGACGAGGCTTTTCATCCAACTGCATTTCACTATTAAAGTGACCAAACAGCTATTCTTAAAACAGTTCATACCTCCCATATCACCTCTAGCTCTTTAAGGTTGATGGCTGAAACTTGTAGTCCAGTTGGAGAAGCACTGGGTTCTAAAGTTTAAAATTATATAGAAGAAACTAAATTGCTTGAACCTATAGTAGAAAAATTCATTGTATGTAAACGCAAAGGTTATGGTAAAAACAAGTACTCTTTATGTGGTTTTAAATTAAACGTTTACAAGTCAAACATGTAACTACCAAAGGGCAAAACACAGTTGAGGGCACTATAAACATTTTGGGGAAATTCATGTTTTGTAGAAGAAATTTTCTGTTTCAAATTTTAGAAAGACAGAATAGTTCAAAAGGAGAAAGTACGGAATGGCAAATACGAACATTTCCATGTGACATATTTGACTCGTAAAATTTGATTTGTTAAAGAGCCTTCAATCATTGGAAAGTCGTAAATATACCGAATATATGTACAAATCATTTACTAATAACGTAATACACGTACCTATCTGTATAGATAAATATTCGGAATCAAGCTGAACAAATGTGAACAAATAATAGCACTTAACGTCTTGTTTTTTCTCAAGACTTAAACCTTACTTCTACAGCGGGTTATTATGCTGTTGCTAGGAGACACAGGTCCTGTTCCACCTGTTCCTTCCCTCACTGCTGCTACACGAAACATGTAATCTGTGTCGGGTGTCAGGTTGATAACAAAGGCTGATGTTGTGGGTTGCTCTACTCTCTGATCCGCTACCCAGTCACCATCTTTCATTACAAAGACATCATATCCTACCAGAGGAGGATTACCTATGCCATCTTCTTCAGACCATGCGTTCCATTGAAGACCTACTGTAGTTGACGTGGTGCTCACTATCACTGGTGCTTTCTCAATGACTGGCAGAACTGAAGAATTAAGATAATTTATGGAAATACCAATCAAAATCAATGACACACCTATACTCTTCCATAAAGTTAAAATTACACAGGAATACTATTCTGACATCTTACAGAACTGCAAATGTATGATGCGGAGAATGTGCATACGTTGTGTGTGAGCTAGCCCGAATCCGGTGACAGGGATAATAATACATTTTAAAGCACTTGGAGACATTATAGATGTATCAGGTGTTATATAAACTAAAATATTACATATTGAAATATAAAGTATATTAATTAATTCACATGTATGGCTTATGTACAGGTCAATGTACATGATGCGACTTGTATGTACAAAAAACAGTGTATCAATATAAGAACAGACTCCCATGTTAAAGGGTAATTCTAAATTACAAATTCATGTTGACTTTTGTTGATCTGTAATTATATAATGTATATATCACATATCTTTTGACTTTTTATGTAAATTTATGTCATACATATTTTGTTCTATTACTTTTGTTCTACCTGCTAAGCTCCACCTAAAAGAAACCCTCCAAAAGCAAATTATTTGTGACATTATGATGCCAGTAATTCATCAGTAAGCTAGATGAACAAAATACATTGGTAAGTCCCTTCCCATCAACTGATTTAAATAAAGTGAATTTATACTTTCTATTAAACTGGTATCTTTAATACAGTAATACACAAGAGTAAACTGATACCACGCAATTTGCTCACCAAAAGTTACGTTGATTATTGGCGTACTGGGATAGCCTGTGTTTCCAACATATAGAATGCATTCGTATTCCCCATGTGGGTACACACTATCAACATCAAAGACAACAGCTCGTTCTGACCCTGAGACATAGCTAGATCTCATGGTGATTCCTGTCCTGTTATTGGTGTCTTCAGTACGTCTGTACAGATCAACTGAGGATTCATCGGGAAGTGGGATGCCCTCAACATAACATATGAAGCTAGATGGTTGGTATGGGTTTACTCTCACTGGAACCAATCTGGATATTCCTGTCAAGAACCAAGACGAAAAAAAGAAGAAAGAAGAACATTAAATAAAACACACAATTTGAAACATAAAATCTGTTAGCCTTATGAATTTAACTTACATATGGCAAACAAATCCTACATGCAATTTTTAGAACATTGGCCAATCATGATATTCAAAAATAAAATAATGTATTTATTTCTCTTATAAAGAATGACCAATTATTTATAATTTTGTCACAAACCAAGCAAAATTACAAAACATTAAATACAAATGTGCAAGTCTACAGCATTAGAAGAATGCAACCCAGTCACTTCATTGGATTAGTATTTCTATCACGAATTAATCAAGATCATAACAAACTAACACAAATAAACTTGTACATGTATTACCTAAACAAGGGGAGATATTGATCTGATTATTGTGTTTCAAATTCAATTGCGTAATATTTATCAATGCAGTAGTCCCGGTATGCAAATCCTACATGCTTTATGAAACTACTGTTTGTTCTATAAACACCTCCCAAAAACCGATAATAATTTTAAGAAATTTTTTGGACCGATTCGCTGCTTGTATAGGGTAGGAGAAACTTCCTTGAAATATGAAATGGACTTTATAAAGAGAAACAACATAAAACAGTTTGTACAATTATGTGTACATGTTTAAGTGTCTACAAAATAATAATAATAATAATAATAATGGTCATTTATAATGCGCTGTTATCTGCCAAGTACTGACACTCATTGAGCTCTCAGGTAAATTTGCTTAAATTAAAGTAAGGTAAAAGTACTTGCTCCACAAGCCTATTGAACAAAATTGTGAATTACAGCTAAACGTAATGAAATACATGCACACATAGTTTCGTATGCACTCCGCGGTGTTTTCTTAAACTGAACGTTTTTCAGCAGAAGAAGAAGACAAACCTGATCACAATATGCTGGACGCAATGTTCCCGGAACCACCGGTAGGTGGCGCACCACACGACTAGGGCTTTAACGGAACACTCTCAATTACTTTCGTAGTAAAATACCAGGTAATGACCTAAAATGCCCCAGATATGTATGTTGTAGCCAACATTTTGACATTGTATCGCATGGAACGCCTTAGAATGGTTTCAAGAGGGTTAAAACGCTGAAAAACATACGAAACAGTATATATCTGAGCCAAAAAGTGAATTTTATTATTTTATTTAGTAGACCTGTGACGTCACACAGAACGTCATCTTCGGCATCATAGGTCTTGGAAGCAACGTCTTCGGAAGCATTCGGATGCTCGGAAATGTCACCCAAACAAAGTTGAAAGTTCAAGATGATCATGAGGCAAATGGCATCAATGATGGGTAAGTGAAAATGTGATTTTTTTTTCTTCAAATTGATACAAAATTTGAGCGATTTTGAGCGAGTAACTTTTTAACTGTTTAGATTTTACACTACTCGAATCATTATTCGCTACGCAAAAGTGTAAATGTAGAAATCGCGTGAACTTGACCAGATTATTTAGCATGTTGGCGCTTAAAATTAAAATGCCACGCACATGGTCATGGGAAAGTGTACCCACGTAGATCTAGTCCCTGCACATGTTATGATTCTTATTTCGCGGCGCTGAAAATCGACCTGTATTGCCGGACACCGTGTTATGTCTATGGCGAAACGCAAAGTCGCGAGTCGCGCGAGTAGAAAATGCACGGAAAACAAATAGCAAAATGACATTCTCAAAACAAACTTGACAGCCATTCACTTTGCACGGGCATAAGGAAAATTGGATTATTTCATGAAAAAGGCATGTATTTGTCACTCATACGTTAGGCTAAGTTAGATTTTCTAATTTTTTTGTTGTGTTCTTACGATGCGTCATACATTTCTTGATCACCCCACTCGACTTGCGCATTCGATACGTATAGTCCCGCGCGTAGAACGCGCGTCCGGTAATTCAATAGTGTCCGGTAATACCATGCGTGGGCATACGTGTTCATCTCGTATGACGGGGGCCCTATTACCATTACCGTCCACAATTATTTCAGGTCCTCAATTTGTCGATCAAAACATGAAATCTACGAGTAGGTTTATGATAAAAAAGAAACTTCTGTATTTTTATTCCCTGGAATGGCACTCCGTATCAACCTACCAGTTTGTTTATATCGCTGTTCACAATGACCCTAACCTTGTCGTAGTCTTCTTTTTCGTGCTCACAAAATCGGTATCATGAGAGGTTGTATTTCCGGACGGGTTGAGTACCCGGACACCGCGCATTAGAACGGCGCAATACGCGTCGGGGAAACATCGCGCGCAGTTGCAAACAGACACCCGGTGACGCAGCTGTTATTTTTCTTCGCATAATCCTGATTTTGCATGGAAATTCTAATGCTGATTATTTGGAAATTACGTTTTTTGGCAACATATTCTGAAAAAACGCACAAAATTAAGTGTCCGGTTACTCAATTATGTTTTTTGGCAACATATTCTGAAAAAACGCACAAAATTAAGTGTCCGGTTACTCAAGTCCCCACCCTACCTATTACCGTCCAAAATTTCCTTGAGGTGTTGTCCCCTCATACAAAGGACAGACATCATTACCAGCATATTTTCATGCGCGTGAATTCACGTCAACCGGGCAGGATATGAACTATTGCTTGTCAGGCGGATTCCTGACTAGGAGCTCTCCATGTTTGTGCTCACCGAGATCTTAACACGATATTAATGAACATTTACATCACATATACAACCATTTTTTTACTTACGATGTCAGTGTTTTCAAGCAATTTCTGTGCATAACGGGCATCGCTTGAACACTTCTTCTTCGTAGGGAACTGCTGAAACTGAATGCGCATGCACGATACTGTAATAGACATGTATACTCTTGAACTTGGCGTATTTATGCATACATTCTAAATTAATAATTTACCAGTGTCTTTCAAAGACTACTTCAAAAGGCGCTCTGATACTTACCATTACTAAACAACACAAATTAATGATCTTTCTCATACACTCAATAAGAAAGCTTTCTCTGATCATGGTATACAAGCAGCCGGCCTAATCCTTTCGAATTCACTCCCTAAACTAATCAAAGAATCAAAAAATACAAAACACTTTCGAAACCTTCTTAAACGTTAGCTGATTAGTAATTATGAGTAATTTCTTTAGAGCATGTCCACATTTGTCTTGTCGTAATGGTTTTTGTCAGAGTCTTTTTTACGCGTTCAACTTTTGTTAATTGTTTCTTTTTTCTGTGTATATCATGCATTGTATACATATTTTTGTAAAGGTGTGGGCTACTTTCGGGCCTTACTGGCTCTCCGGCTCATTCCTCCATTTGTCAGTCTTTGTATTTTACTGTTATTTTGAGGTGTTTAGGTCTATATTTTATCATTATAAATTTTGTTGGAAACAAGGAAAATCAGCCATTTTGACAAAAAAATTGGATGAAAAGTTGCGAGTGCAGTGAGTGAGCGAGAAGCTGAGAACAAATAATTTCCATGTTTTTTAATCGAAAAATTTAATGTCAAAAACACAATAAAAAATGCTGACTGACCGACCCTCTCTGGAAGGTTTGACCGCCATTTTTTTTTTGTCACCTAATAGGTATAATTTTGTGAAAAATGGATGTGTATTAACAAATATTAGGGCGTGTGAAATCACTTTCACCTTTGGGGCTATTATACATGTAAGACTATGTATTTCACCATAAATTTACATCTGCACCTCTGACAAATTTGTTGTAGGCCAGAGCATATGAAAAAATATGTTACAAACAACACACTCACTTGGCATGCTTTGTTGTCATTGGTTGCAAAATCTTGCATTTTCCTTTAAAAGGTCATTTTACCAATTAAAAATTATTTAAGGTTCTCATAATTTTGTATATAGACTTTAAAAGAAAAAAATCCAACTACCCATAACACACATTGTGTAATACCAACATCTCAAAAGTTACTGCTGGCTACTTGAGTGCACATAGAAATCAGTGATTCTTAGTATAAATTGCTCTCATCATGACTACCACTGGTACACTCATAGTCATCTTCCCTATCCTTTCCACTTTCAGCAATATGTCGCTATAGTTTCTCAGAGTATGTGACAAGGACCATGCCGATTGTCTTTTTTGTGTGTGGAATACATTGTAAATCTGCCACCTTGTACTGACACTTTACAATTAAATATAAACTTTTGGTAAATGTTTTCCATGGAAGATCATTTGTTATGTTCATGTGATAGTATTCAACCGCATGCGTCTTCAACCGCATGCGTCAACGCTACCCAAATCTAATTTGGGAGGACTTCGGACAATTTCACCCATGCACAACTCCAGCCAATGTGAGTACAGACACTATCCCAACATTCACTTCCAACATCAAAATCAGTAGGTGAGAGGATGTATTCCCCGTATGGGTAATGCATCCTCTCACCACCAGAATCCTTCATCAACAACAGTCATTCTCCAAGCACAGGAACATTACACAAAATTATGTGCAACATCAAAACAGTTCAAGACATGTACCAGTAGGCCTACATTAAAATCCCTTCAGCATGCCTTCAACAAACACTGCATGTAGCCAAAGTAATTGTACCTGTTGATTTTGCTAACACCTTAATCTTTTAATTATTGTCCAACACTAGCATTAACCTGTAACTCATACCCCCAAATCTTCGGTTGTTCATCATTTTCCTCATGAACAGGGGGATGGTAGTCCAAAGCAAAAGTCACATCTTGGTCGTCTCGTTATAAAGAAGTCCTTGGGACCCATGAAATTGTTTCTTTATAACGAAATTTCTTTATAATCAGGGCTGCCAAAACAATAGAATACAAAGGAAATCCAAGATATGGGACCAGAGATTTTACTTCTTTAAAATGAAATGTTGTTATATCAGTGTTCTTTATAACGAGAGTGCACTGTAAGTGAATGAGGGAACAACTTCTTGAGGGGAGTGTACCTGTAAGGGCATTCCAATACTGCCACGACACTTCCCCCTATACTCCTCTCGAGAGGTTGGTCCCTTGTTCCAATACTTGCTTCACTTGAGAGTGATGACATACATCATATGTGAATGAGGGAATCGCCATTGTGAAGGGAGTGTACTTCCTCCTGGCCCATACATGTACTCCTCCACCAATGCTTCACGTTTGGACCATCATTGATAAAAAAAAATAGTAATTATCTTAAATACTGTATATACTTTGGAGGTCAACAGACTTTTCCTAAATATAAACGTTACACTTATGTCAGACCACTCAACACACGGTCCATGGTGTCATTGTCTTTTATTGGTCACTGCCACGTGCGGGGAGGGATATCTTATCCACATTCTTAACATCCTGCATATCCTTCACCTCTAGAACACCATGTACAGTGCACTCTCATTATAAAGAAGTCCTCGGGACCCATGAAATTTCTTTATAATCAAATTTCTTTATACATGTATCAGGGTTGCAAAAACAATAGAATACAAAGGGAATCCCACATATGGGACCAGAGATTTTACTTCTTTATAATGAAATTTTGTTATATCGGTGTTCTTTATAACGAGAGTGCACTGTAAACGTTTCTCCACCACATTATCGCACATCAAATAAGCACAATTCCAACACGTAAAAAAAACACCGAAGCGCCCTACGAAGTTATTTAGAATTTTCATTATTGTTGGGATATCCATGCATAATAGGATTTGCACATGTCTATACCCATCATGCTTCCACCCCCCCCGGATGCACCACAACATGTATAAATCTACAGGTAGCCCCTTTCATCTGGCCAGACGCAACACATGGCATCTATCTCTAGTTCCGAAAAACTCTGGGTATAATTACTTTGACTGCAGTAAGGTTCAATCCAGCTATCTAGGCATTGTCCCTGGCAAAGACCCCTCTCCGTCTCGCAAGCCTCTGGAGCACAATGACATAGCTGAATACAATCCAAACCAAAGGTACCCCCTTCACACTCTGAACAAATAAAACAAAGGAAACATCTGGTCAATGATTATCATTGATTAATAAAGGCAAAGATAACTTTGGCCGGGGTCTACTGGAAACAGGGTTGTAAACACAAAAATCAAATTATTTCGATCAGGTGAAACGAGTAGATTTTCTTCTGACCCATGTCACTGTGAGTTAGTCCATTACTACTAAAAATCTGTTGCAGCTAGCAGTTCAGGGACCACCTCTAGATCTGCTGTTCTCTGAATTATCACTTTCAGGTGGAAAGCCCACCATGCTGGCTGCAACTCTTCATTTTAAGTCAATAACTTCTAGTCACAACTAAGATAGAGCTCTCTCTCTCTCATTGCTACAAAATACCACTGAGGATTGTGATATGATACATTAGAAGTTTTCTATGGAGATTAGACGTTTGCTCCTGGGACAGTTGTTCCGAGCTGTATTTCATCAAAGGTATTGGTTAGGGTTCGGGTTGCAATTGGGTTTTAGTTAAAGGGATAGTTGAGTTCTGTTTTCAGACCGCAAATGCATTCAAAGTGCATGGTTATTGCTCTTATTCTTATCTATGACATTTATAGTGCCCTTTTATAACTTAAAATTGCTATGAAGGTAATTTTAGACCCTAACATGTGTGAAATTTAGCCAATACGATCATACCAATTCAGCTCCACTTAAAAAAACAAAACTCGATGACCGTTAATTAATTATTTAATTAAAAATAACAATATACATGAGCCGGCTTATTATTGGTAAAATAAGCAACACGAAAATACCAACAAAAAAGCCAACATCGGCATTGGCTGAAATACGACGTAAAAGGCGTTATTTCGTGTGTGTTTTTTTCGTTAATATTTGTGGTGGTACACAAGTATAAGAAATCGTTATACAGTGCGTCCCAGAAAAAACGAAACCGAGAATTGTCGATGTTTTATCATAACTTAATCACAATTATGTTTAATAAATGACACATATTTGGAAAGCTTAGATTCTTCTCTTTCATTTGATGCAACTTATATGATGCATATTTCCCGCATGAGTGATTAAAAGCAATTTGAAGAGAGGACACCAAAAAGTCATTTGGCGGGCGGTATCTGAATTTTAAAGAGAAAATCACATTTCTAGAAAGTTCAATTTCTGCCCTTTCATAATATATATATATATAATGCAGCATTTATTATGCGCCATCGATCTAGTAAACTATTCTGAGGCGCAGAGGGATAGAATTAGAATGAGATACATAGAGACCTCAATTAGGAAAAATGAGCCAGGAATAAAAAAGTTCTGTTTTTTAAAGTAATACTTGCATTTCCATAATTTGATCAAACAAGTTAGTTTTCACTGGCTGCCTGCCGTAGCAATGAACAGAGTTGACAAAAGACTTAACTCCGTTTCATTCACAAAGAAGACAAAAGACCTGATGCATGGCTGATCTTCAACGAAACGGAGTTAAGTCTTTTGTCAACTCTGTTCATTGCTACGACAGGCAGCCAGTGAAAACTAACTTGTTTGCTCAAATTATGAAAATGCAAGCATTACTTTAAACAGACAGAACTTTGTTATTCCTGACTTATTTTTCCTGATTGAGGTGTCATATGAAAGGGCAGAAATTGAACTTTCTAGAAATGTGAAATATGCATCATATGAGTTGCATCAAATGAAAGAGGAGGATCTAAGCTTTCCAAACATGTGTCATTTATTAATCATAACTGTGATTAAGTTATGATAAAACATCGATAGTTCTCGGTTTCGTTTGGGGGGGGGGGGACGCACTGTATTTCAGCCGTCTCTGAACTGATTTTGATCAAACAAAGATGATTTTGTCATTTAAATATTATGTTCTTTCAAATTTGACACTCGGTTTTTCATTATCTCACAAAAATTATTTTGTGTAGCGCCCTCTGCAACAGAACTCAACTACCCCTTTAAGGTTTAGGGTTTAGGATTAGGTCACTGTTTGTTCAAGAGTCGAAACTAAGAACTTGGTTTGTGTAGAATGACAGGAAACAAGTATCGTACACCAAAAAATGACTGTTGATTTTGGAGGTCATAGTTTAATAAACTCTTGAGGCAGAGTACAGTTTCAAGATTATATTGGGCAACAGTTTCAATCCCCTCAAAGCAGTAAATATGTCTATACTAGAATCCCCCTCCAGAGTATACGTACATTATAATGATGTATTACTATATCGCAGCACTATTTACATATATCTGGTTGATATGACCAATGAACATACATGAACATGGATTTATGAGTGTTCATATATGTATACATAAAACAATCGTGGTGTATCGTGCACAGTGCACCATACTTGATGTACATGTTGCATGTAGTCTGGAGATAAAGGAATAGAAATTGACATGAAAAATTCAAAACCCTTTATTGAAAAATAGAATCTTACCTTGACATTTGACCTGGCCAGTACTGCGTACTTTGTATCCTAGAGCGCACTTCTGCTCAGGGCACTCTCCAGTATCTTCACCACACGGTTTATCATTCAAGCAATGACATTTATCAGTGCATTGAGATCCATAGTAACCGTCTTCACATTCATCTGGAACTGCGGATTATAAGAAAATATTTTACAAATCTCAATTTAGCAAGTACTGCATGTACTAGTAAATAATATTATATGTACTTCACAAAAATCAGATTGCTTCCATTACAAAAATTTTATTCTTTGCTAACTATTAATTTCAAATTTATCTTCATCTTAACCAGTGATTGCATGTTTTTTTTAATTCTTTGCAATATTGTTTTCAATTATTACACATATTCTTGAATTTAACAGTGCCTTCACTAGATGAATTCATGTATTTATGGAAAACATTCACCTCCTCTATCAATAAACATGAAAATAGTATACAAAAGGAGTTGTCCACAAACCACTACTTGATGCGGGTATGTCTACGAATATAATAATAATAACAATAATACATGAGAAAATAGAAAATATAATAACCTCAAGTGATAATATAATTGTGAATTATCTTTTTCCAAATGGGTACAATACAGGCGCCCCAGGTCCTGTAGGCAATGGGGTTAACACTTAACAAAACAACAACAATTACAAAGCTACATGCAGTGTACAAGTACAATTCTGATTTATCTTACCTTTTAGTAAGAAAGCATTTACGTAATATTATCTTTTATCATTGCTGACTATGACTTACTTTGACAGTTGTCCCCAGACCAGCCAGTCAGACATCCACCTGTACATATTCCACTATAAATGTCACATGATGAACCACCTGCACAGTGGCATGTCTGTGAACACCCTGGACCATATGTACCAGTAGTACATACTGTAATAGAATTCAAAATACAAAATCAAGATGGACAGATACAATACATTCGTCGGAAAGAAATATTGTGCATGTCACATTTATAAATTTCTCCTTCTCCTTCTTCTTCTCCTTCATTATCATCTTCTTCTTCTTCTTCTTCTTCTGCACTGATTTGCATCTGACCTCACTCATAAATCCAGCCACAGTATGTGCTTTTGATATTCCAAGAAAAAATATATTTTCTGAGAATTGTAGATTTACATGTATGATAACTTTTAACCTTCTAGATACACGTATTTTCACTATTATAATTTGAGCAAAATTAATAGAATATCGAGGACTCACGTGTGTTACATGCAAGACCATGGGCACCGACGTCACATGAACATCCATAAGGATCAGGTAGGCAAAAAAGAAGCCTATGACAGTGTGTGGCAGGATCACTGTATCTTAATGAACATCGAAACTCGCAGTTCAATCCATATCGATTTCCACCATCATTTCTACAAACTAAAGAACACAAATAGTTGCAATGTTGTAACGAAACCTTAGAGACTTGCATAAGAAATAAGATTTCATGAGATAAATTTCCAATATGGTTGCTTCTCTTTTGCGAATTACAGATGGTGTCTAATGCTCTTTAAAAATAATATTTTTTACTACATTGAATAAAGCCATCCCATATCATGGATAGCAAATGTGTCGATCATAAACATTAATGTTATTGCCTTTATTTAGATACTATTTAGATATTTTATATGGTATTAAGGAATAACAACCAAAGCAAATCTTTTCCCCTGCTGTTTATTATTGTTCATTCATTTTTGCAATGATTCACTCGATGTACAGTGTATAAACATTACATGTATATGTAGAAAGAACCTCAGCTCTGGTAGAGAGGGACACTTTACAAAGTATTTACAAACTCATTTTACTGCTAATAAGACATAACATAGATAATATACTATAACAAATCAGAAATCAACTTGTTATAAACAGAATCATAAATGATAAATCAACATTATTCTTGCAAATAATTTCTGGTAAAATAAAGATTTACAAATAAGAATGTCGTCAGGTAGAAGAAAGACATATTTGAAATTGAACATGTAGAATAGATGTACATTACCATTTTCTATGGAATAAGAAAAGAATATCTTCCTAAGTTCATTAAATAAATCGATACCGGTATCCGCCAGGCTCTGACGCTCGTGGTACTTTACACATATTACCCTGATTATAGCCGAGCTGCCAGGTAACTAGCGCTTATTAAGAGATAAACATCATTTAAAATTAAGCTCTACAGGCCTACTTACTTTCTAAACAATTCGGTCCCTTGAAGTTGTTAGGACAGATACATAGACCAGACTTGTCATCACAGACTCCACCATTGTAGCATTTATCACAGATACCATAACACTCAGGGGGACCCCACTTACCAGCAGCGCATTCTATCGGAGAAAGGGAGGGAGAAAAATAATTAAGTATACATGTCACTAAAGATTACATCATGACACGGAAGACAAAAGATAGAAGATAAGCAGGGTAATATAAAATGGAAGTAGACAAGTGCAAAGTTTGTTACAAAATAATGTTCTCGAACGTACAACTATTGAATATCGTATGCCATAGGCTCTGTCACATTCTGAATTTACATACGGGTAATTTTAAACTACCCATATATGTCAAAATCACAGCACAGATCATGACATGCTGACACCTGAATTTTATCGTTGAATTTTCATAAATATTTTGGAACAAAATTTGCAATGGGGAAAGAGATGTCCATGTTACGATAACGCGACATCCGGAAAAGATCAGGCTTGGACATTATCTACTAGAATGCTCTAAAACTAATTGTTTTGTCAAGTGTTCAAATTAAAAAAAAAAAATTAATAATGAGTTGTCCACATGTAATTTGCATAAAAATCCAATGATTCTAAAATAAAGATTTATTGGCGAAATATGAAGCAGAGCCTTTTACATGCATCATAACAAACAATATTATATAAATAAGAAATGACCCCTCTCAAAATGCCCAGTCTGAATTAAGCAGAAATACACTTGTACATAATATACCTCTGACGATGAGTTTGTATAATCCTCCTCTATTTTGATCCCTCTCGTTATCATAGTAGATCTCATAGATTCCTTGGTCTGATGTCTGGATTGGGTTTGGGAAGCTGATCTGAGTCTGCCCACCAAATGATGTAAGAACCTCACTTCCATCTTTCATCCAAGTAATCACGTTGCCATTCGCATCAGGATTATTACGACTAGTCATGCTGATCATCACTCCAGTTTCATTCACATTGACTGTCTTTGTAAACAATCCATCCCTTGATATGAATTTAGCTGTTAAAAGGGATGATAAAAATAAATGAACCAAATAAAAAATGTAATAATAATAATACATGTAGCACCTACATGTACATGTAATGTGCACTGTAGCCATTTACTCCCTAAAGGAAACATACATTTATATAAGGCTTGCATTCATATACGTGCATATTGAAATATATATTTCAAAATATTCACTTGCATGTTGGAATAAATTTGTTCCTGTTGATATTTTTCAATAACAAGTTTAGATCGTTTTAAATATTCGAACATTGCCGCAACTAGTCTGGTGTATTTCAAAATCTTTGGACTTCTGTTTGACAATGTTAATGTTAGTAAACAACATCAACACAAATGGGCATGTTCAGGCTTAACGCAATACCGTGCATGCTTTGCTTATGATAAATTTTTGAAACTTTTGTGCTATTTACACAAAAGTCTAAAATCTCTTAAAAATAATCGTACTCTGGTATTTTCAGATTCATTCTCAGTATATATGTAAAGCATCAAACCTTTGTTATAGCCATTCTCAAGCAAACAATGTTCAAAAGCATCATAAGCGGAACTATTTTATTGAATCACTCTCACTCCTGATCCTCAGTAAACCATTTTGCGGTATAAACGCTTCTTTGCCAAAAAAATCCACAGTACCTGTTTTTACATTGTTTGATAGTTCATTGAAGAAAAAGAGTTTCTTACATTGTATTTTTAAGTTATATTCAAGACTTGGATTTATACTATTGCAAATGCGATTTCTGCCCTTAACAAGTCCTGAACCAAGATGTAAAAGTAGAGGGAAAAAACCTTAAATATGATATTTAGATTTTTCTTTCAATACTAATAACAATAACAAAAATGTAAATTCTGTAGATGTGTGACCATGATTTGTACGTTCCCTGGTAAACCAAAGCCAGGAATGGTTCGAGGAAATAGTGGCATGAACAGCCTGCCATAGTTCAAGTCCAATTTATATCGATCATAGTCTTTGTGAAACACTCCCCGAGAGTGTAGTTTTTTTTAAACGCCTGCCAAGATTTCACAAATTTATTGCAGTGTAAATGCAATCTTCGATAAGATACCCATTATCGCTCACAGACTCTCCTCGCTTCCATGGTAACGCATGCAGTAGAGCACCGACAAGTCACACATGCGCACTACTCACAAACAAAATCGGTATGGTTAAACTTCAACGGGTTTTTGTTACAGGTTTTTTTTTTTCCAGTAGTGTAAATAGTAGTCACAAACATTGATGATTCTTCAAATTGGTGTTTGGAAACATGTTTAAATGGGCCAATAGTTGTTTTTTTAATGAGGATCATTACGTGATGTTCCATGAGTAATAATATGACGGTGTTCATGATTGAAAAACCTTGATATATCTTTGTATTAAGGAGGTTCCTCTAATATTCGAGGAATCTCCAAAATGCAATATAAGCTCAGTCTATATTGTTAAAGATAAATAATGGTTATTTGATAAACAAACATCATTACAAAAAAGCCGCATTGCGAAGATCTTAGAAATAATAAACTAATAATTAACGAATAATATTTCAATTTTTCTCGCATAACTTCGTCTCAACACCAAAGTACCTAGGTGTCACTCTTGACCGAAGCCTCACCTTCCACGAGCATGCCAAAGCCACAGCCCAAAAGACCCAAGCCAGAGTGTCTCTCCTAAAGAAGCTTGCAGGGACCGGATGGGGAGCTAATTTCACCACCCTTCGCACCTCCACTCTAGCTCTTGCCTTCTCCACTGCCGAGTATGCTGCACCTGCATGGAGCCACAGCACCCATGTACACAAGGTTGATGCTGTCCTCAATGACGCCATGAGACTAATCAGCGGAACACTCACTGCAACACCAGTCAGCAACCTGCCAATATTATCTGGCATACCACCAGCTCAGCTCAGACGAGATGCGCAGTATGCTAAGCTTGCCCAAAAGCATGACAGAGATAAATGCCTTGTTCCTGCCCCCTCTGCCTTTGAAGGACAGCGTCTCCCTAGAAGACACTTTGCAACACAGGCTGCTGAGCTGCGGCCTGAGAACCCCCCTCCACCTTAGCCACTTGGATAACAAAACGCTGGTCAGACCAGTGGAATTCGTCCACTACCAACCTGAAGGAGTTCATCCCAAAGCCCTGTGCAAAACCAAGTGGCAGCGACCTCCCAAGAAAAGCCTGGGTCAACCTAAACCGTGTCAGAACTGGAGTTGGCCGCACACAATATTTCCTACATAAAATTGGAGCTGAATCATCACCAAACTGCGCCTGTGGAGAGATCCAAACTATGGATCATGTCATTGATGATTGTCCGATCTACAAATCCCCCCACGGCGCTTCCGGACTTCGTGAGCTCGATGATGAGACGATCTGTTGGCTCAATAAGGATCTTCCTATCTAGATGATGTACTCCCTGATATTCTTTGCACGAACGAACGAACGAACGAAAATATGATATTCGATTCTCTATTCGACAATATGTATAGATCTGTTATACAAATTGGAATTGGGATTAATTTTGATTATTTCGTCCTATTTACAAAGTGTGATACTACATGTATATGTTCTTACTGATCTGTCAGGAAAAAAACACATTTCTTTTGATTTCAGGTGCTTGGGATATTAATTGATTACATTCATTGGCAATTCAGGATTTGAACTGAGATTAATTTCGATTATTCATATATGACGTACATGTATATGGATTATACGTGTACAAATCTTAAATCTATAAAAGATAACACTATACAGGCTATGAAGCAAAGGAAATGCAATTAATTTCGATATTTCAGTTATAAATATTTATAAATTTGTCAGATTTTTATGTCCAGGTTTAAAGTAAACAGGATATCTAAGAGACAATTCATGAATTTCAAAATCGTCAATAGCAATACTAAAATGTTTTACTTAAATTGACTTCATAATGACCTCACATGGAATATGCTCATAACGTCAGAACTTCACTTTGACTACTTCACTACAGGAAGTTTCTATAGTATACATTAAAGAATAAATCTTTAAAACTAAGGAAATCCTGTACTTGATATAAAGAATGGAATATTAAACTTACCATCACTTCGTTGGAATAATGTAGTAACTCTTGTAACATCTCGAGCGGATTTAGAAGCCTCACAGTAGAAAGGACCGAAACCATCTCTATCCCATCCATCTCCTGTAGGGAATGTGACCTGTCTGACCAATGAATATCTGCTGTGTAGCGTATCTACTGGTGGTGATCTGTTTGTTGTGATGGGTGCCGATCGACCAAATGATAGTGTAGCGTCTGTATCTGGTTCACTGCGGTAACATTGATACTCCCATCTGTTGGATGAACCTACATTAGTGTATCCTAAGGTCAGCACTGTGATATGAACAAACTCACCTACAACATAAAAGATGAACAGAAATTCATTGTTGCTTTACTGGATACATTCAACTTTAGAGTACAGTACGTGTTCGTCTTCCCCCTTCACGCATTCAGACACTGCTTTTGGAGGACTCAGTTATAATAAAATAAGTGTACTGGATTAAGATGCATCCAGAATTCAAATATAATTAATTATTTAAAATCGTAATATTATTGCAGATTTGTAGAACCATGTCATTAGTACTTGGAGCTGGAAAATAACATAACAGCCATCAAGATATTACACTTGTTAATACACCAAGTTTCGTCTCATAAATGTATGGGTATGTACACTGGGAAAATACACGTTTATTCAATACCTAAACATGTGTTGATCAGCAACTTAATGCATTTAAATGTCAGTGTAGTATGTTTTGAGAAGCAAAATATTAAAATCAGAACTATAACCCCCAGACATGTAGTTCATAAATACATTGGTGAAGAAGGTAAAGATAAATTTATTACAGAAATAGTCCAATGAAAAGAAATCTTCATTCTAAAGCAGTACTTCACGTTATACCTTCAGTTAGACAACTATCAAGCAAAAAAAAAGCGACCTTCACCTGCAAAATTAGCAAGACTTGATATAATATGGCAAAACTTTTGACAGATAAATATCAGTAAATCCCTTCAAAGACGTGTAAATTCGTGCATGAAATTGGTGTTTCCCTTGAATTTCAAACTTCATATTCTTTTCTTCCACAAATACAGATCAGTCACAGATCAAATACACAAAATTGTTTGCTTAGAGTGAGTAGCCTTTACAATGTATAATACATCACAGAGATTTTACTAAACGGGAAAAAGGACAAAGATCATATATTCAAGACTTTACCCACATCTATGAGGATTTATCACTGTGATAAAATATGATTGTTACCATCTCTGACAAGACAGCAAGATGAATGAGCAAATCAGTTTTAATGAATTCCAGGCCTTCTTGTTTTACAATTGTTACAGTATTTTCTCATTCTCCCCACCCCCTTTATTTCTGTGAATACATGCCTCTCTAATCTTTAACTCTTTGGTTGCCCTCTTCACCTCTCTGCATGTCCAATCGTTTGCCACATGTGCAGTTTTGCACAAAACAATAGGCACCAATTGACGGAAAGATTGCTTTGAGCAACACAAAGTCTATGCAAAATACATATTTCTGGTGTTGATTAGCTCCATGAAAACCCTTTTAACACCGGTATAAAATTAATCTTGCTCTGGAACTCAGTGTTGAAAATTGCTGAATTCAAAGTGACACAGGGACATTATTTGCATGACATGTGTAGAGTAAAATTCCTGCTAAGTTCCTCTCAACCCGTTTGTCCCGCTTTCTCTCATTCCCTCTTTCTATTGGTTCACGCCTCCCCCTCCCCCTCTTATAGTCTCCTTCATTGCATTCATTTCTTCTCTTTTTCTCTTCTTCCGTGGAATTATCTTTCTTTGTTTAACCCTTTCTCCCTATCCTGTGAGCAAACGGAAGGGAAGAACAAGATGAACTGGGATGAAAGAGAAGTCCCTGGTCGTTTCCCACATGCAAACATAAAGAATTTTATTCTTGTTGCTATTTTCATTACATTCTGATTGTATTTACCAGAAGAGTATTTTTCTTTTTTTTTCATGAGAAAAAAAGGGAAAATACGCTTCATATGAATATATTTTATAATTACGAAATACAATTCAGGTTAGAGGTAAAGACCAGTATTTAAAACACCCCAATTTCAAAAAATGAAATGGAAGCTCTTATTACCAGTCATATGAAAGAATATGTTTTGACTAATACATGATAATCAAAATTTTGCCGGGAAACCGCCTACTAATTGATATATTTGGTAAATAGTTTATCTACATGGTTTGTGAGAGATAAACGCACGTGTCGCGCACGTGTGCGTATAGTCCCATATACATCTTTCTGTGTACAGTGCTTGTAAAATTACGAAGACTGGGCCAAATTTCTTATCATTTTGATGATTCCAGAACCTTGCAGTACACACCAATACTTATATGCTAGATGATCAACCTTTTCTGATCGATTCCACGATGCAATCGCATGACCATAACTGGTCTTAACCTATAAGGATTTGGAACAGAAGATAAATGAAAAATATATTCAGAGTTGAAAAAAAGTTAAAGAAAAAAAAGATTATGTGCTGTTTTTCAGTATTTTCAAAAACTTGAACTTTTTAAGGAATAATCTATTTCAATCATCATGTTTGTTGAAGCAAATGGGAGAGTTTTTAGGCACTATTTCACACAGGTATCATAATCAATTTGGCAATTCTGAAATTCCCATATGGATAGTAAATACAATTTTCAAATATTCATAACTTTCCCATTTGTCCAAGTTTGTTCCAAGTTTTACCAATCTACTCCTTTGGTATTTCTTCCTCCCGGAGCGCCGCCTCTGGGCCTGTATGGTTTGTGATCCACGCAAACTTTGGGCTTATATGGTCACGACAGTATAAGCCTTAACTGTTTATCATTATTACTAAGAGAGGAGTGGGGTTTGCATTCAAACACTGTCATCATTCTTACTGTCCGGCAAAGACGATATATTTATATGATTCTAACTATATCTTATCAGACAGAGAACGTGCGAAAGAGGTTGGCGACTACTCATCATGAAAATCTTTCAAAACCCCACATACATTTGTATTTTGCATTTTTTATTACGACAGTGATTTTTCAGGTATCAACAACGAAAGTTGAATTGTTATTTGGACTTATATATTTGCCGATTTCCTGACATTTTTGTAGAGGCTACCGGTCTATAATTTTTTTGTTTAAGTTTTGCTTCCCCTACCCTTACTGGTCGCCCATCCTACATCAGTAATAAGTCTTATGGGATATTTAAAAAAATCTCTACTCTACAGCGGTCAAACCAAGTCTGGGAAAGTCGAGGATTTGCAAAGTGTTATCATGCGTCTGGTTGGTAGATCAAATGCGAGCAGCTAGGGGAGGTCTAAACATTTCTATGAGCACCCTGATATTATAAGAATGGGGACAGCCCGAATCAACTACGCTGGAAGCAAGCAAACAGACACCTCACATTCAACAAGCATTTCTCTCGTCATCAAGATATTTCTGAAAAGGAAATTAACTGCGCATAAACTGAAAAGGACTGAAATTTTGTCCCTTCAAGCATTACACATTTTTTTTTCTTTCAATGAAAAAAGTAAACATACTGTAAGCCCCCCTAAACACAATTGACGTATATCACAACCTTGAACCACGCTCGCTGAGGGCAAAGTACAACGAAATTTTTCATATCATAATAGAAGTATTTTCAATGACCATGGTTCCAATTCTATTCAATGAAACCATGGTCATTATGCATGAATATGTACACAGTACATATTGGTAGAACGGGTTTATTATATGCACATATCGGCGTTCTTATCAATCATCATCAATACAATTATTCCCAGACTAACATGTAGTATAATATACATGATATAGTCACTATAGTACGTTTCGATTTCTGAACAGAAGGATTTCTTCTCAGCTCATAATATGTATCCCGAGTACTTGAGTTTGAGAATATTAACGATAGATAATATTTGCACGCGAATTTAAATGTGATAATACGGAACTAAGTTTTATCAACCCTGCATATATCTTTTCGCAATGGTTCATTTTGAGCGAAATCCTTTTAGAAATTTCGATATAGAGCAACGAGAAGTAATTTTTCCAAAATCGTGACTTCGGGGAGCGGGACCTGAGATTCTTTATCTTAACTAAAATAATTTTTAACAAAAAAATTATGTTTAAAAATATTTTGTGTACGGTATAACATTTAAACCAGGCGCTTTTACTTATAGCATTTCGAGGCCGAAGTTCATAGTTTCAGCAAAATGAACAGAGCAATTTATTAAAGCGTCAAAATCTGATCCTTTATGCATTTTGACATTTTTCTTCCGATTTGGATATATCATCGGTTGGTGATAATCTTTAATATTAGAACAACTTTTTTTGCAGGAGAGGTGTTACATTATGACTAAAAACACGTTGGTCCTTGATAGACTAACATGTTATAAGGATGAACAAAAATGGGAAACTTGGGGAAAATAGATTCAGACCAGCCATTTTCCCGATTCAAGACCATAGGATTCAAAGGGCTCGACAAAGGGTCGTTAGTCCACCCTACTAATTTGACCAGTGGTAGAGTGCACTGGGGCAACACTACATAACTTGTACTTTGCACATTAAAACTCAGAAGTTTACAACTCGGAGGTGTTGCGGGCGCAGGTCCATAGAAGACAACTAGCTGGGTAATCCAACACCAACGAAAGTGTAAAGTCAAAACGCATTTTATAACCTTGTAATTCTATATTTTGTCTATCCACAAGTTAGTATGAGATGAAAGATCATGTTTGTTAATTTTTGATATGTTGCATTATGTCATGTGCGTATAGAAGTTGTCACGATATTTATATACAATTTCCATATGTTTACTGGGCTCATAAAATAAAACCAGATAAACATTCAAATGAGATATGTATGTAATTACCATTGGTGAACTTTATTATTAAGTACATAACTAATGTTTGATACAAATTCAGGTTCCAAATTCTTATGAGGGTTAATTTACTCGATTGAATTGGCAGGGTAAGGACTGGGGAGACAGACTTCAAAGTCACAGGGCTACCCATGGAAGATGTTCTTCTGTTCTACTTATATTAGAGTCTGGTTGAGCAGTCTAGTTAATCAAATGGACAAGCAAGTTCAAGCCAAGTCATATTCATCATTGTTAAATATCTTTAATCTATAGGCTTTTATTGTATTAGAATGGCAGGGACCTGTTTGAGGAGTGTATTTAGGAAGCGCTAAGCGTTTTCAGTTTTTTTGCTCTTCATTCGTACTATTTTCAAAATTTCATTGTACATTTGCGTATTCTATGCTATAATACTCAGACGTTTTTGAAAGGTTTAATAAATATATATAAGCTGCATACGTTTTAAAGTGTCAAAACCCTTATTTCCAGAATAAGTCGGGGGCAACATGTATATATCTCAAACATTGTTCCTATTTCCAAGAGCTTAAAATCATAATATTATTTTTCTATTCTTTTATAGTCACATGATTGTATATAGAAACGGCACGAGGATCGGCGTAAAACGTAAACATTGACTTTGTTGACAACTCTCAGGAATACCGCCCTTAAAAAGGGAATGATATAAATAAATGCTCGTATGACCATAATGACATTTCATAAACCATCGACTCAGTCGTGATCACCCCAATACGCAAACGATCACACACCAATATGGATTGAATGGATGATAGCAACCTACCTTGTATCAATATCGGAAAACAGACGAAAAGCGACAGAGTTGATAAAAACAGTTTCAGAACTTTGAATGTTGCCATTTTCTCCAGTAGTCTCCGCAACATCCACATCTCACACTCGAATTCCAACACGTATTCTCAATCAGCTAGCAATCTGTTTACGGTGAACTCTCACCCGACATTCAGTGTGAATATCCACATACACCTTCCTAGTCAGATGGCGTCTGTACACTCTTGTACCAGGAACTAAATCCATGATATTAGTCTGTCATCAAGTCTCTCATGATAAAACTGATGGCAGGGTAATCAATTGAAATTAATTTCAAAGAAATTGCATTGACCATTGAAGAGAAGGTTCATTGATTTACAAAAAAAAACTAACTTTATTGTCATAATTGCAAAGGTGAAACTTTGATTAGACAGGGTTATCAAAATTCAATGCTTAGAAACATTCGAAATAATGATTATTATCAATTACAACACGCTTACATACAGCACTGGCTTATCACCTGAAGAGCTCTCCGAACGCTACTGAGATGTGTGACGTCACAATCATGTTACATGATTTGCACAAGCAGACGATGTCCCATAACATCTCACACATTTACAATGCCTGTTTTGTCATCTTCTCTTCAGTTATTTCTTTTACTTCACTTACCGTCAGGATAAATGTTTATTCACTTGCCTCATTCTAAACCCCGCGCATGGTATTATTTGATGAAAAATGCGGCGATAAAAAATAAAGGAATCCGTCGCATGCAAACAAACTTAGACGCCATTGTATTTTCAACTGCATACACCGCGATTTGTTAAAGAGGGAACAAATGCCGCCCATGCTGTCATTCCGGGGGTTGGCAATTTGATTGTGTGGTTTCGTTCACTGTTCAATAACCTCTATCATATCCTGTGTATTTACAAACAAACGATATTTAATCATCAGAATCGGTTTCATTTCCCTAATGGTGTAAAATGCCATAACATTTATATACACTAACCTCATTATAATTTGAGAAATAATAGCATTGCAATTATGTTCATTCTATGGGATGTATTGTGTATTGTTCGTCTTTTATTTTTACGCTTCACTGCTTGAGTAACATTTGCATTTCGGGAGGTATTTGGCATTTCAGTTTTCCTTTTAATTTGGTAAAACAAAGTGAGCAGAATAATTATATGGGTCAATTTCTGGCATAGGGATAGGTATTCTAGGGGCAAATTATGGGCCAACTGAACATAATACTTGTCATAAAAATTGCAAAGAATACACCTTTTTGTAGTATCGAATTAATTCTCATTTTTCTAATCTCTTTTGTTAATTTAGGATAAAATCTGATGGATAGTGACAAAGATTAAATATTTAGCCGATAGTATCAAAAGTATGAATTTGTCGGTTATCATGGTGTTGTGAAACAAGATATGACTGTCATGGAGTTGGTTTCGAAAAACTACTCCCTAAGTTCTCACAAGAGTTTGCAACGTTGGTTTTGCCGGAAACACAAATACATGCAGTGTATGTGACTATGGCTGATTTTGCAGCTCTAATTTGATGCTCACTTTACGACCATAGCAATTAGTGTCGGGTATTTAAGCGTGTGCAGGGAGTGTGCTGAATTTAGCTTGACTCCCGCGCACGCCTATACAGTAATCGTTATTGTTGTCCAATTTCGAAATCAAGTTTTATATCTGAAAAAAAACCCTTTTCCTTTAACAGGTTTAGGAGAACAATATGATTGGGCTACCTTTGAAGATGGATTGAAGCTAGACAAAGAGAAGTAAGTTTATGATGATAAGTAGCTTACTCAATTTGGTTTAAACCCATACTTCACTTATTAAAAAAATACATTATTTGTTGTTCTTTTTCAAATGGGTGATGCTGATCGGTGTATTTTTCCAATAGGAAATAAATGATTTTCTGAAATAAAAACTCATAGACATAATATATATCTTATAGTTAAAATTATGCCAATTTGTGTGGAGTAAAGATTTTAAACTTAAACATGTATATACAGTATGTTGCCAACTTAAAACATATCTAGAGCCTAGCTGTTGTGATCTACATGTGATGGATAAGCCTCCCTAGCAGACTAATTATTCTAGAGGGCCTTCTTGGCAGGCATATAGTTTTCATACAGAGTCATCATACTATTATGTACAGGCCTATTACCATGTGATCTCTAATAATATTTTTCTTTCAGCGACAAACCTATGATGCTGGTCAATCACAAGACTTGGTGTGGAGCATGTAAAGGTGAATAATCTCACATTCTTCATTTGAGATCGAATGACAGACATATAGTGAAGGAAGCAGGAAAGTTCTAGATGTATACTGTATGAGAAAACTTTTTGACAATTCTGAAGTGAATAATGCATGCTGGAACAGTGGAAACAGGTGGGGTTCTAATGTGGAACAGCAACAGGTTTGAATTTTAAATGGACATGTTTTATGAGATGTGAGTTGATCTAGTGGTACATTCACTTGGCAAGCTTTCTGTCTTTCCTACTAACTGGCTCAAGCGTACCTTGGCAACAGGTCGGTCCCCAGACTTATAGTAGATAATCATATCATGTCTGTAAGAACCAATTCTCACCCACACACACACATACCCAATGACAGGTTCCTTTTCCTTCTCAATCAACATTACTCATGAAATATTAGTCATGGAATTTGTTTGAAAATGTTTCAAAATATGGCTTAGAGTGAACCAGATCAAGAGTATCTTAACCAAATAGACAACAGCCTCTAAGAGAGCCCTGAACCCTGCTTCAAAGGACTTTACGCTTTGAGGCCATTCTCCCTCCAAGTTGCATTGTTACATGCTTGGACTTTTGTTTTGGAGCACCCTGGCCTGGTGGAAGTATTTGTTAAATTAAGATTTCTAACCTGTGAATTCTGGGACCATTGCCCCCCGAGACTACCCTAATAGGCCCTCATTATTTTATAAAAAAGTATCCATAATTTCTGCAATAAACATTTTGGTCTGTATTCTGCAAAACTTTGATCCCCGTGCTGGTCTTAGTTTTAGTTTTAGTGCAAAATCAGGTTGTAACAAGGAAGTATGTCTCAGCTCTACATTTTCTTAGTTAAAAATTATCTAAGACCTGCATTTAACAACTAAATTATTCATACCCTTACCTTGATAATCATCATATTTGTCAAATATAGCTAAATACTGACAGTGGCTAGACTAATATATTTGGCTACTCACAATCTAAGTCATGAAGTCTTAGCCTCATACATGTTATACAGGCCCAACAAGTTTCAATTCAGACCCTGCATAGAAAAAAAAAATAGTGCAGAGCCCTGTTGTAAAGTGACGATTGCTTCTTTTCCTGATGAATGTTATCTCATTGTGACACCTGCCATTGTGTTCCACACGTTGATACCTCTCTGTTTTCCTTTCCTGTTTTTACCATGTAGCATTAAAACCCAAGTTTGCTGCCAGTGAAGAAATACTTAAATTAAGCAGTGACTTTGTGATGGTCAACGTAGAGGTGAGTAGTCATTTTAAAATGCTATACATGTATATATTATATAATATAATATTATATCTCAGTAGTTCAAAACAGAGTCGGGTTTACTTTTGGCTAAAAGACAACTTGGCCCAACTGCAAAAACGGTCAGTTTTTGCAGGTTTAGGGTTAGGTTAAGGGTTAGGGTTATGGTTAGGGTTAGAGTTAGGGTTAGGGTAAAATGACAAAAACTGACCGTTTTTTGCAGCTGGGTCGACTTGTCTTTGAGCCCAGTTAGCCCGGGTTCTTCAAAACATGTTCACGTATCATGGATGATATTTTTGGCCAATCTAAAACTAGAATGTGAATGTGTATTCCAGATTTGCCTTCAGCCCCTTATTTTGAACATTTTATGCCAGGATTATTGACAATAGTAATTTCAAATGATACAAGGCACTATCCTCAAGTGTATAAACAGGTTAAAGTGCACCAATCAAAGGAAATATAAATGTGTGTATACATGTACCTAAAATGTATAATACCACCCCCCCCCCCAAAAAAAAAAAAAAAAAAAAAAAAAAAAAAATTAAACAAATAAAGGATAACATAAAATCCTGCATAAAAGGCTCACACAGAATTTAAGTCACACTTGGGTTTCGTGCACACCCTAGTATGCGAGTGCATAATTATGTGTTGGCTTTTTACTGAGAAAGTATTTAAACTATAATATGTCTTTGTAGAAATAATATTTGAAGCTTATATTTTGAATTCAATAGAGCGACTTGGAACCCGTTACATCACGAGTAAGATATTTTTTGGTTATCGGTTCACTTTAAGTACATGAAGTTGAATTGGTATGTGTTTATTTTCTTTTTTGAAGAAGTGAAGGGAATTAATATCATTAAAACATGCAGGGAATTAGTTTCTAAACTTGTGGGCCAGTGAATCAAAAGATTTACTTTGGGAGTTGAGAAAGTAGGAACTGATGTTGATAGAAGTATATATGATGGTACTGAAAGGGTTAAGATATCAAACTTTCATTGTGATGTTTTGTGATGTTTATCTTCCCCAGGATGACGAGGAACCTGAAGGGTCTCAATTTCAGCCCGACGGTGGATACATTCCTCGTATACTCTTTCTAAACTCAGATGGCGTAGTTCAACCTGACCTAATCAACACGTTAGGAAATCCCCAATACAAGTTCTTCTATTCAAATGCTCTAATGGGTATGTACAGCTTGTTGTGAGTGATACAGTCATGTATATGTTTAGTAGGTTATATAAACACTTCCTATAGATATTGATCTGCCGGATTAGAGGCTGGGGGTTGTAATATGTAGCCCCTTCCCCCACCTCCACCCAACGTTTCGAATAGACAGGTACAAACAATACTGTGACATTGCAAAACAAATAATATGCTTGGTTGCATGCTCAGCCAATTGTTCCTTTCAACATGTTTTGCATCTCCTGAACAATATACATACATGTACATGTACTTCAAATTCAAATCTGCAAAAAAGTAAGTTGAGAATTCTACAAAATAAGGTACAAATAATAAAGATCCCCTGCTAAGGCTGCTAGTGATAATGTAAGATCTAAACGATCTTAGTTTTTGTTTGGTTCCCTTACTTCTTTACCAATTATTAAATTGTGTAACAACTTCTTTCCAAATCTTATTTTACCTCTTATTGCCACGTTTCAAATCTTTGTCATATAATAATTAGCTTTTTATGAAATAGATCAATTGTGATATTTTGGGTTCCCACTTCTCTTCCAATTATTAAAGTGTGTAACAAGTTCTTTTCAAATCTTATTTTCCTCCTATTGCCACTTTTCAAATCTTTGTCATATAATTAGCTTTAAATGACATTTTTAAATCACGGTTTCTCTATTTTGATATCTTTTTTGTGGTCTCTCATTCATCCCCTACAGTGACTGAAGCAATGAAATCTGCAGTCAAAGCACTAGGAGGAAGCAGAAATGATGAGTTGTGACATGGATCTCTAGTTTAAACTATTTATCAAGCAATAATGGCAGGTGCCCACTCTTGTGATGTAAACACTAGGGCCCAAACTCACAAAGGAGGTTTAACTTAACCCATGGTTACTTTAAACCCTCATTTACATAACCCATGGTTTAAAAATTAGTGCAAAATAGGTGTTGCTTGCCTTGCGCGCGTCTAATATTGGACCTCTGACTGTGTCGCGCTGATGGGTTATGTAAATAAAGATTTAAACCATGGGTTGAATTTAAACCTCCTTTGTGAATTTGGGCCTTTATGATTTGTCTATTCAGAGACAGAAAGGTGCTAACTCTTTCTAAAAGTGTATGACAGGCCTTTTGATGTCCCTTACTAATACTACTTATCTTGAAAATAATAAGACATTTAAACATCACTTTTGTCACAATACGATACAAGTAAAGCACAAGTTCACCATTCTCTGATGGTCAGAATAACATTACCTCATATAATGTATACTATTTATATGTGATGCAGATATCGTCCCTTTGCCACATGTTAGCCAATATTGTTTTTTTATGGGATAGATATAGGCCTACCAAAGGCTTTCAAGATTATTTAACTATGTCCAGCGCAAGATAAATCTATACTGATATTAAAAGGGTTGTCATGGAAATAATCAAGACCCTAGTAATGGGTAATTTTGCAAAACTATGATGTACAATAAATCGTGTCATTTAGTAGTGCCTGTCGTTTTGTGCACGTGTGGTAAACAAGTGACCTTGCAGAGAGTTGAAGAAAGCACCCAAAATGTTAATGCCCCACTGGCTTTCGAGTGTAAACTTTGTTTGAAGTTAATATTGTACTGTGGTCAAAACAGATATATTTATATTGTAATGGTTCGTTCGTTCATGTCTCCTTAGATCAGGATAGTTATGTAAAGTTCCTTAATTAAATTAAATTAAATTAAGTTCTTCCATCGCCCGATTGCTGCAATGGCCGTTTCATTAACAAGGGCCAGGTCTTCATCTGTAACAGTGATTCATGCCTTTGAAGATAGTTCGTGGTATACTTGGTCAAAAATAATAGTTTCTTTGAGACCAACATCATATACATACACACTTTAGTATTCAACATCACAAAGTGGATACTTAGTTAGAATAGGATACTTAAGAAAGGATTTTAGGAGTGATAAGATTTGTTAGGTGCATGAAAATGATTGCTTAGTCTATAGGCCTTTATAGTTGTATACTCTGTTAGTATGGGCCTTTATAGTTGTATACTTTTACAGACAAGTGCCTTGGAATACTCATATTTTGAGGTATTTTGAGGTACTTTGTGGATTAATCTGACAGTCCTTGACCCATACCATGCAAAACTTCATTATACTTATAGAGGTGGAAAATGATTTTTATACATTTTTGTATGAAATGCATGGACTGAGTATTACACAAAATACCTATATTAGACTCATGATTCTGGGCCCTGTTTCATAAAACTGTTTATGAATAACAAATGCTAAATTGCTATGACAAATTTACAAATTTGCTCTCAGCCAATCAATGCCACGATTTGAGTAGCTTATAAAAGTTATGGTACCTTGTTACGGATGACAAGTTTTGTGAAACAGGGCCCTGGTGTCTGGATAAAATGTTTTAATATTAATTTAAGGTGATTCATATTTATCCAAGCTCATAGTTGGAATAACATTCTTTTTTTTCTACAAAATCATGGACAGGCAATTGGTTCTTGTCAAATTGTCACAGATGATTACTTTCCTAATTGGTAGATGGACTAAGCAAAATACATTCTAGAGGTGACATATACATTGAGTAACAAAAGATCCTAGTTTGAATTTATTAGGCTGTGTATGTTATCTAGACATTTATAGAATGTTATTACACTGCATGAATAAAAAAGGAAAAAGATAAATATCAATAGTAATTCTGTCCATGATAACATTTCATATTCTTTCGTGGTAACCTGATATTTGTTTAGGTGACATTTATGGTTAGGGCTAGCATTGTGATTGGGTTACCGTTAGGTAGAGGTTTAGGTTAATGTACAGAGTTGGGACTAGGGTTAAACATGAATGTAGAATAGACTCGTGCAGGAGATAGAAGATAGACCATGGAGCACATGTCATCTGATCTTTGTGTCCTATAACACAGTTGCTCTCTCCCTTTCTTCATAATATGAGAGATAAAGAGAGAGAGAGAGAGAGAAAGAGAGAGAAGAGGGGGGGGGGGGGGGGGGGTGGGAGAGATAAACACACTTGTCTGTTGTGTCGCTCGGTACATTATACAATTACAGTAAAATATAAGTAATTGAAGTAAGAAGTAGGGATATAGAGGAGAATTGAGTGAAGGGGACATAAGGAGTGAGAGCTAGTAGGAGGGAGACAAGTAGAGAAAGAGAGAGAGAGAGAGAGAGAGTGGGATAATGAGTGGGAGAGAATGAGATGAGGGAGAGAGAAAGAGATGAGGGAGAGAGATGAGAGAGAGAGAGAGTGGGATAATGAGTGGGAGAGAATGAGATGAGGGAGAGAGAAGAGAGAGAGAGAGAGAGAGTGTGATAATGAGTGAGAGAGCATGAGATGAGGGAGAGAGAAAGAGATGAGGGAGAGAGAAGAGAGAGAGTGGGATAATGAGTGGGAGAGAATGAGATGAGGGAGAGAGAAAGAGATGAGGGAGAGAGAAGAGAGAGAGAGAGTGGGATAATGAGTGAGAGAGCATGAGATGAGGGAGAGAGAAAGAGATGAGGGAGAGAGAAGAGAGAGAGAGAGAGTGGGATAATGAGTGGGAGAGAATGAGATGAGGGAGAGAGAAAGAGATGAGGGAGAGAGAAGAGAGAGAGAGAGTGGGATAATGAGTGAGAGAGCATGAGATGAGGGAGAGAGAAAGAGATGAGGGAGAGAGAGAGAGATAAGAGAGAGAGAAGAGAGAGTGGGATAATGAGTGGGAGAGAATGAGATGAGGGAGAGAGAAAGAGATGAGGGAG